TTCCATTTATTGCCGAGGCAGGAGGCATATTGCTTTTCTATGTCATGGGCATTGCCAGCTTCTATTATCTGGGCTTCTACCACATGACGGACACGAATTACGACAAGACTGAGGAGGGCGCTGTGATTCCGAATCACATTCTAGAAAGAGACGGGCTTGCGCCTGCGCAGGAGATACGCGAGCGAACAAAGGACCCGCTGCGTAGTGGTGACAAAGTTTGATAGCTCCGCAGACTTGAGCTATAATGACGCATTTTTTCCCTCTTCTGACAATACACTACTGCCAGATATTGAGTATTATGATTACTCAAAGATCCTTTTCCACACCTTTCATGCCAACCTGATAGGCGACGTTCTTTGCCACACAGCTGCATCCTACTCTACACAGCCTCCTTCGCAAGTCTACGTTTCCACTCTTTGACCCAGCCAATCAACCTTGACGCACCAACTTCACACCTCTGCACAAACAATATAGCACCACGCCAATGCCACGCGTTCCTTCAACCCAGTCAGATCCACCACCGATCCTCCGCACGCTACCATTCGCCTCCGCGTAGATAACAAGGGGACCAGCACGCCGTTTCCCCATTTCCACAACCCGCAGCACTCATGAATCGTCGGTGCATCTGAAGTTGCATATCTATGCAGGCCTAATCCCCGTCTATAGATGCACCTAGGTAGGTATACTCGACGCATGGCCTTTAGCACCCGCAGTCCGCTCGCTCCCAGCCCACCCGCCGTCGCCCTATCAATTCCCCGAAAAAAAAAGGCAAAGAACCCCATGTCCATGCTCCCTCATTTCTTTTTTCCCTTCCGACAACGACAACCCTCGCAAACAGGCTGGAGCTGCGAAGGGGAAACAAGGGCATCCACATCAACGCCACGCACCCATGTGCCCTACCACCCTAGTTTGCCCCACCGCACCGCACCGCACCGCGCCTCGCCTCGCCTACACCCCCACGGCCCGTCCCCCGCTTCAATCGCGCTACGTACTTATCCAAACGCGCTGCGCGCACCTTGCGTATCACAGGCGAGTACGGGGGTTTGGCGGCGATCGCAACACGGAAAAGGGTTGCGTGGTGCGAGAAGGAGTACGAGAGTGATGCGTGGATGACGTAGACATGCGTACACCTACGAGACTACCGGCATTGAAGGATGCAGATGCGGAGTCTATGTATGGCTGGGAAGTTGTTGCGTCTGCACCGGAAGTATTGAAGTTTGCGTTTGCGGTTGGGGGCCTTGCGTAGGGGGGCGAATGCGCTGGGTGTTCGTATATGGTGGAGATCAACGGTTTTGGAGGCGTTGGTGGATAGAGTGGATAAGTGGGGAGGAAGGGAAGTTATGCTCTGCTTGTCAGGCTGAAAGTGGTGGACTGTGCGTTTTGGAGTAGGGGTATATGTATGGTATTTTGTTTTGGAGAAGAGGATGGGAAATTAGAGAGCGGGATCCACATTGTTGGTGATATTTAACGGTTTTTTGGAGATGATGATGTGCAAGGATATGGGACTTTGAATTGCGCAATATCAAGGGGTGAGTAGCGTCCCCAGTAGTCACCCTTGACAACTGATACTCTAAAACTCTGTATAGGTAGTAGGCGGGCCTATAGCACTAAGAAAAATAGGTCGATAGGGGTACTAAAATCTGCAGCCCCTTCAGAAACTACGACAACTTCCTATCTGCGCAGGGAAACCCAAACGACAAGGCCCTTGAGTAGGCCGCCCGGGCCTTTCCTACTCCAATACTCCAAGTTTAATACTTCTAGATGTCTAGAAACTCAAACTTGACAAGTATCGTACACGCCGTTTCATGTCCAGCCAGGTCAAACATACGCACAAAAACCCAATCCGACACAACGTACATCAGTCTCACAGCCGCAACGGCAAAAAGCGGATTCTTGGAGAAACTGTCATCACTCTTGATCAACATGCGCAAGAAGATCATCTCATTATCCTCGTACTCCCATTCAAGTACTTCCTTCCACAGGGGTTCAGTGGCAGGTGGGTTGTCTTTGTGCATAAACCCAGTAAGCTTATGGGGTTTGTAGACGGCGGTCTTGCGCTTTGGAGGCATGTTGTTCAGGTCGTTGGGGTGGACAAGTGTGCATGTTAGGTAAGGCTTGATCTCGTTGGGGTCGCGTGTTTTGGGCAGAGGAATGTCCGTCGCACCCGCGACGTGTAGTCGGAGCTGCTTCCGCCTTCCAGTGCCAAGGTTTCCAGAGCCACCCGCGCGTAGGGCCGCAGGCTTGAGGACGTATCCGCTGGAGCCAGTGAAGAGCGCTTCGTTAATCTGCGAGCTCGCGCCAAAGGTTTGCCAGTTAAGCGCGCATATCTGTGCGCCGATACTCCAAAAAGGGACGGGGGCTAGGTTCTTGGAGGAGATTCTAGTGCCCTTGGGGTAGACACGCATCAAATGGTGGGCGTTATGGCGAGCAATCTTTGCGCTGTTGGCTGGGAGATGACTCTTGAGACCAGATTCAGAGACATTGATGAGCTGGTGGTGTGGTGCATTTTCAAGATCGGCTTCGAACCATGAGTTGTTAACAGGCTTGACAGACTGCGCGTACACCCCCAGGTTTGCAAGCTCAGGAATGATAGTTCCAGTTGGGGCGGTCTTTTTTTGTTCCACATACGCCTGATGAGCTTGCTTTTGATCCTCATCATCGGAACTGGAAGAGCTGCTGCTGCTGGTCTCCTGTTCATCGGGTAAGTGATACTCAACAATGACTGCCACCTTGTTTCCCAACTCAGCAAGGGTGACATGCTCATGCTTTGCAGGATCGTTTTGTTCGCGTGTGCCTTTGTCGCGCACCTCTTGGCTGAGGAGCCGGTGGCCAAGAACCTCTTGGAAGATTTGTACCAGGCGAAGCTGGCCGTGCGCGCCACAGTGATTTTCCAAGGAGATAAGGATGGGCGCAGCATCCATCTCATTTGCAGCTTCCCTGTCAACAACATCTCGAATTGTTTCACACACCTCACGGAAGGGTATGTGAGAGACGAGTGTGTAGCCATGAGTGACTTTGGGTTCGTCGGCATTATCATCGTTGTCCCAAGCATCAATCTCAACGCAACGCGATCCAGTGTGAAGGGCAATCTCATACGCCTGGGCATGCGACTCGCCATAGAGCTGGTGAGCCATCAGGTACGTGTTGTGCGACGAACTGATGAAGTACTCGGGAAGTGGATGGTTTCTGTCGAGGAGTTCCCGGGGAATGTTGACATGGTTCCTGCTAAGCATCTCTCGTAATGCTGAAACCCATTCTGTTTCTGAGCCGGACTCCGGCTTGTGCAAGATGTTGTTCTCGATAATATGGTGTTGTAGTCCTTTGCTCACCCGGAGCTGGTCTTTGGGGATGTGCGATTCTCGTGAGGCATGGCCCCCNCCAGCCACAGTCCCCGCATCAATGGCCTCGCCCTTATCTTCGTCGTCGATGCTTCTCTTGGAAAAAGGATTGAGCTTTGCGATGCCAGAGACTAGTTCCGCCATGATGTGCTATGTACTGTACTATGGGGATAGGTAAGGGTCGGTTGGGTGTACAGCCACAGAGACGATGAGGGGGTGGATGAGAGGTGTGGCTGGTTCAGCCGGCGGGGTACAATAAGTATAGCCTTGGCCGGTTCGCACGGACAGCGTGAACTCACAACACTCTCACGTCCGCGAACAAATACCGAAACTAGGAATCCTGCGCAGGGACGGTGGAAGTAATCAGGTTACAACCATGGTTTCCTCTGGAGTCTTGGTTAAACGCGCCAACCACTCGAGACGTCGCGCTAGAGCATGCGCTGCTTAGTGCTTGGACTAAGCTAACCTGCATGATGTCAGGTGCGAGCCCTGCTTCCTATACTCCAGACACAATATCGTGGATTACATTGACCGTTTGGCGAACTATGTTCACGAGACATAGTAAGCTACATGAAACCCCCTGGAAATACTGCGGGATTATCGTTAAATCGCTCGCGCCTTCAGGTATCACGGTACTGGTAACGCCGTGTGTTGCGGCTCGTGCATGCACAGCCACGATTCTAGCCTTAAGGCATGTCAACCGGACTATCAGCCCAGAAAACCGCCAGCGAACAGTACCCACAAGCCGGCGTTTGTCGTCTCTCCTTCATGGCTATCGCAACGACAACCGATAGGATAGACACTCACGGCTAAACCTAGGCTCTGTCTCCGACGTCATTGCGGTCGGCTTCGCAGACAGCCTCGGGTAAACCGACTCGGAGCAGCTGAAACCCTTTCCACAAAAACAGTGCACACACTTAAGTGCAGCCTTCTGAAAAATCAGCCTCCCCATAGCTGTGCGGGTGTCGATCATTTCGTCAATCCACCGCCGTCACCGCCTTTCGCCGTTGCAGACAACCTACTTAGTTCTCATGGTCAGATTGGTACCGTAAAACAGTCACGCCGCTTGACATGAGTCTCAGCCAATCGGCGCCCATGCACTAGCTAACGCACTATACCAACAACTCGACGCTGAGCTGAACGTCCAGCTTCTAGCCTCGACCTCGAATCCTCAACTACCGAGTTTCCTACAGTTTGGATACACTAGAGGGTAGGGTCTTGGCACCATCAACCGCACCATCAGCGAGCTGGTGAATTTGAGACAAGATCAGCTCAGTACATTGTTTGGAGATTAAAACATTAGCAGCATAGAAAAGACAGGACCAAACCACTATGTGCAGAGCAGTATACGACACCATACGTCCGATTCTATATTTCCAAGAAAACAGGGGTATAATTTCCTAAGGTCACCATCTTCAAACCCACACTCTACCTAAAATTACTCTAAATCCCTAACACCTAAGTCGCCATTCGCAAACCGTACGAAACCCTCCCAAAACAGTCATTGCTACTTCTTCCTTCCTTTCGATTTACCAAAAGCCCGAGTGCCCTCTCCCACACTCACACCCTGACTGTCTTCATGATCAAAGACGTCAATCAACCCCTCGCACGTACAAACTAACATGGCAGACTTACTCCCCTCACCACCTGCAACGATCGCCGCTAGAACATCTGTATTAAGCCCCGCCACAAGCTCAACCACTCGAGCACGTGTCGTAGACTCGAGACAGGCTTCATGCAAACTGCGATGGCGTAGGCAAGCAGTCCGCCTTGCATCAGCGCGTACTGCAAGGACATCAGCACCTCTCATCTTCTGTTGTCTAGTACAAAATTTGGAGACGGTGAAGTACCATTGTCCGGGAAGGAGTCAGTGTGTTGGGATCCGGTATTGCTGACCCAAGTTCCCACACACACGACGTCCGTATCACACTGACGAGAAAAGGGGCGAGGCGCGCCATTGAGAGAAGGTCCGCCTGGGCCGTTAGGATGTGAAGAGGTAGTACCGTGATTGTCGCGGTGGGGAGAGCCACCAGTGGCAGCATGTACAATGGAATTTAACTGATGTGAAGCCACCATGGCCGAAGCTTTAGTCTAAACGAACAAAGACACCTACGCCAACAAGTGGAATCTGATCTCCTTATATATGATTTTTGCCATTATCAAGAGATAGAGGAGTGAAACCAATTACACAGCATGTCATCTCACCGCTCCAGAGCCTCACTCTTCCAACCAAAGTCCCTCGCTGTCGTTGAGTGTAAGAAAAAGGAGCACAGCCCATACAACCCTCACTGCCCACACACAAGCGACCCGGCTCTGCTACGCCGTACACGCCCAATGCAGCAGGCATTATTGCATAAGCAAATTCTGCGGAAGGTCTCCCGCCTCCGCGCCTGCCTGATCTGTAGCACCCTGCGCCACTGTTGCTGGCTGTAGGATGACAAGGCTGAATGAGATTTGCTGCGGTGTGGTCATGGGGTACACTGTACCAGCCGGAAGATCATTTCTGCGCCGCAAGCGAGTAGTAACATGGCAATCTAAAATTTTCCCCGAGCGGTGCCCAGAAAAAAAAGGAGTGTATGTGTGCCTGGGACTAAGCGCGTGACGCCTCGCGGAGCCACTCAGGATCAACAATGACAGGCGGTACATGATGCCTTTTGTGCTGTTGGCCAACCAGACACACAGCGGATCTGACTTCCGGGCGCCGCTGCCGCTGAATGACTTTGCACGCGGTACGCAAAAAAAAAAACAGGAAGGTTCCGCGTGTAGCGATATTAAAGACTCGGGTTTGCCGAGTCGTCCGGGGGGGAATCGGGTTCTCTCTGGTTTGGATCCGGGAAGCGTGAACGGAAGCGGAGGCCTGGTAGCGCTTTTACCACCCGGCATCGCGTTCCCTACCGGCATCGCTCATGCGGTTCCGGCAACGCGACTCAGGCGATGTGTGTGAAAGGCTTGGGCGGTGTGATGAGCGTTTCTTGTCATCGTTGTTGGCGGATGGATGACGTCGCTCTGAGGAGGCGCTTAGGATCGCCTACCATCTGATCGATTTTTGCCACGAAGGCAGATCATGAGCTGAATTCACCGACATTTCTCTCTGAAATGATCGTCAGTCTGTCAGTATCGTGGGGAGGAGTTTGGGGGCTGTGCAGTGGGTTTGGGTGAAATGGGTCAGGGCCTGTTGGAAAGGCTGCATGTGCAGCTAGGCGCCAGCATTGGGAGAAGCCGGGCTGGCATTGACAGATTTACCGAATCCTCTAGCCAACGGGAGGACAGATGGAAGGTACCGAAGCCGCCTCAAGCACAGGGTGATATCGCGGCTGGTGATCCAAGATCCCGATGCCCCTATCACTCCGGTCATATTGCGCCCCCGCGGATGTGTTGGCCATCATCGGTGGTACAGCGAGATGCAAGACTCTGCCGAGTCCAGATAAGGTAGGTTTGGAACTGTACCCGATTCCGCGACACGTGTGCGTGGAGCAGCGATGCAATCCACTTGTGGGTGATACTTGAAAACCCTTCCGCAGTAGTGAGGGGCTGTGGACAGAGTTGCGCATGGCACAACGGTAGCATGGATTGGAGTAGACAAAGTGAGCATGGCCACAGCTGCTAGTCTCAAACCCCGCCGCCTGCCACGTGGTGACATGGATCGTAAGTGAAAGCTGTCGTTCGAGGTCAGCCTTCGAAACCCTTCTCGACTTTTTGACATGCCAGAATTTGATCTGTGCTTTGAGAAATCCATCGAAGAAGCCGTGGAAGGTCTTGGTCTTCCGTCGCATGCGTTGATGATTGGCCACTCGTGAAGCGCCATGCAACCACAACAAGGGTGTTGATAACCAGTACGCGCGCTAGTGATCAATCTTTGGACAATACCTTTTGTTCTGACTGCCGCCGGTGAGCAGTGATCTGCGACCGTAAATTGCAGGACTATCTTCAAGTGCTGACAGAGTTATCGAGGCGCCCTAGAGATACACAGCAACCTTCGTAGCCTTTGCAGAAGCAGTACTAGTCGGATCCACTTTTCCTGCATAGGTGCTGTCTAGTCGGCGCGTAATACGAGTAGCAGACCGATTATCCGGCCCAAACCCAGATAAGCCTGTCGTTTCCTATGATGGGGGGTCCTCCTTCGGCATGACAATCAATACACTTCTGTTTCATCATCAGACATTCCGCTGCGCAAAGCTGTGCGCTGGCAGACTGTGGAGCTGCCCGTTGATTCCTTTCTTGCTGCAGCCATGGCCCAACTTGCTTCTCATCCTTGTATGATTCCATTGAGTCTGTGCTTTGTGCCTGTATGGTTTCGGGGGAAAGGGGCGTGTGAAATCGATATCGATTATTGCCTAGAGCCTTGTTGGGAAATGAGAGTTTCATAGCGGTGAGGATGAGCCACACATGAGGCTCAAAGACTACACTCTGGGCGAGGATTAGGGACAGAATCGACCATAATCCCCCTGCTGTCAAACAAATCCATATGGATAGCTGGTACACAAGACACTGATGGTGGTGATCGACTGGTTAGTATCAGATGAAGCTCAATTGAGCAGACATGATCTATAGAACAGATATGGATTCTTGGAATTAACTCAGCTGTCAATGTCGGCCTAACACTGAACTCGAATCATATCAGTCGGAAAGTGGTAAGCGCCAAACATGTCTCGGTTGCCACACATACAAAACAACCGTAATTGTGATTTACGCAAAAGGCTGGATGTCCAAGGTCATGGGTTCGATGCTTGCCGAGCATCAGATCAGCCACCCCGTTGCGCTCCAGCCTTTTACTTGTGTGTGTGTGTAGTACCTGTCGAGTCAGCCAGATAGCGTCATTCGTCTCGGCTCGCCGTCGTCTAGGGTTGCACGTACCTACCAAGGCGTCAATTCGCCCGGAAGAAAGGCCGCCGCTCTAACAACCGTGCCTGAGTCCGTTTTCGTTTGAAATGGGGAGAGGCAGAGCGGCGATCAGGCTCGGTTGCCAAGGATGCTCGTTCCGCAAAGCAACATCCTTACATCTCCCAACCATATCAAGATATTTCGGAAAGCGGGAGTCTCGGGTCCGTGGTGCGAGCTTCAGAATGGGTCTAGGCTTCTTGTGACCCAAGCATTTCATATTTGTCATAGGAGAACCGCTTTATCGAGACATTGTAGATTCGTACTGGCTGAGAAAGGGGCGATTAAAAAGCAACTAAGGAATTGGATGCTACTGTAGTGGAGAGATATTCGAAAGAAATGAAGGAAAAATAATCTGATCGCAGTTGATGTCCGCCATCAGACATCGACACTAGGTGGACTTTTCCTTTTCCTGTTTTTCTCCTTCTTCTTTTGCTTCCTGGATGATTACTTCCATCTCGCGGATGATCTCTTCGTTCAATATATCTGGATTGTATGCGCAAATGCATCCGGCGGAGGAAGAAGTTCCAACTCTGCAGCCTCCTGACATCCCCACTGGAAGCTCGTAGGATGGAGTGTATTCGAGCCGTTGAGAGGGGTGTACGCCAGGAGGAATCTTTGGGCGAGAAGGTTCCAGAAATGGTCGGTTGTGGACGGGACAATTGGTTTGCGTGTATTGTCTGGAGTCTGAGGTCGTTGCCGGCAAATCAATTTCTTGGCTACAAAATTTGAGAGAATCGTCTTCAAGAGCTGCTTGTCTCTCAATGTTGCCAGGCTCTCGTTCCATATCTTCTCTCGAGTATCTTGGTTGTTTTAGCAGCTGAGTGAGCCATGGCTAGGGCAGGTATCATAGAAGAATGTGGTATACATACTTGTGTTTTTTGGCACCGACAAAGCACGCAATTCAAGTTGGAAAAAGAAATTATACGTTATAGTAGGAAAGGCCGTTGATGTTGAGATTATTGCTTTCGTGAACACAGTACGGTTGCGCTTTATAGATATTTGAGTCTCCAGAAGCATGCTGCAAGAAAGGGTGATGCATATAAGATCTACCATAGTGTTTCCAATCACATCCCCACAGTTACCGACAAAGTGGCTCATGTCTCCAGAGTATACAATTGCTTGGAAGGAGCAATTTTTAGCAGGCAATATCCCTACCTATTCGCGCAAGGGTAGGAGGCAGGGGGGCTCTATGCTCAAAGTTTATCAAAGCCCAGTGCGCCCTGTACGGTCCGTGGTCAGCTCGGAATTGGGTACATCATATTGAGCACTCAGATGATTTTCAGGGCCAGGGACGATTGCGACAAAGCATTATTGATAGTCAACTCGCAAGAATGAATGATGTCATGCTGAATTTCTCGAAATGTACTCCATTAACCAGAGTGCCGAGTCAAATTTCCACAGCACAAGAAAAGTTCTCGGTAGTCGCATCTGACAAGCTGTCTACATCTCGGTCTGAGCTTGGTCCGGTACGGACAGGTCCCGATCAACATCGGCACGCTACTCTGTATGTGCACCGCTCAATCAGATGATTACCCGCGCCGGGAGCGAGCCAGGGAGCCATACCTGTAGTCACCACTGCATTGGCAAGGAATAGCGACATATACGCCATACGTACGGACAGGTGAAGGACTAGTTGATCGACTAGCAAGAATTCGCTAGTTTACAAGAGGTAAGATCTGCAACCAATCTTAAACCTGGGCTCTTTTTCAGCATGCCTGAAATTACTTTGAAGACAGTCGTCGTGGATGACGAAGAGACGATCCCATCAGTGAAGAAGCCCATAAAGAAGACAGTGGCTTGACACTACCTAAATGCGCTGATTCTGATGTTCATCATGCATAGCGATAGATGAGACAGGCTGTCGAGGGGATGTAGGGGTGAGAATAGCAGGCTGCTCATGTAAGAGAAGTCCCCAAGTGGTATAGCGTCTTGAAAAAGGCAACAAGGCAAACGTCCGCATATTTGCGGCGCTTGACGAGCCACAAAGTTGTTCAGCCATAGTTCAGGTGGTTCTTGCTCAATATTCCCACTGACTCATGGTAGCTACATAAACGGTACTGGATGGCTTCTAGGATCGGTTGCGTGACATGATTTCGACCGGGTTCCGGGAGTTACTTGGATGAAGGGACAAGCCATGGCCTGACCTTGCTCGCGCTAGTCATGGCTGACGAGGTGAAACGTTGTTGACAGTGTGTCTGGCATAAGCGTCTTTCGTCGGTATGCATGTAGTTGCTGCACGTCCTAGTGATGGCGTCCGCTTCGGCTCGGGTATGATTTGAACATGGGCATGACGGATTGTTTCCTACCGCTCAAGTCTGGCACGGATGTCCGGATTACTGGTCCAGGGCTCAATCCAAGACTAGGAACGGGCGGGGCGGCACGCAGAAGGTCGAAGTTTTGGTGTGGCGTATGGTCTCGTAACAGCCGTTGGCCTTTGCCTCTGCTTGCAGGGTGTGGTTGGTGCAGTGGGGGCTGAAAGACAGCTGTCGTCCCCTTAATCATGCATCGCACCGTGGGACGGCGATTCCCAGGGTTGGGACAAAGTGGAAGGAGAGTAGAGCTTTCAAGACTGGCAACAAGATGGAGATGAAGTTGAGATAAAAGTCAGAAATGAAGCTTGCGAGTCAACGGGTAGGCTCCATGTGGGGGAACCCGACCCGATTTCGTTGTCGGAAGTTGCCGGTGACCAACTTCGGGGTTAATGGTGGGGGAAAGCGCGGCCGAGGTGATCGCCGCCAGGTACCAGAAAAAAACATGGCGACGCTGCGATGTTCAGACACAAAACTCGCCAAAACACGCGTGAAATAACAGAGAGCCATCCTTTGCGCGAACGCAAATCATCTCGGTCAAGATACGTACGCGATGAGCGGCACCAACGGCGTCAATGGCGCCAGTGGCACTTCATCGCCCTCCAAACTTTTGTGGAAGCACCCCTCTCCACAGTCTACCCCAATGTACCGCTTCCTCGAGTCAGTGAACAAGACACACAATCTCCATCTGTCAGACTACCCACAGCTACATCAATGGAGCATCGATCATGTCGATGCCTTTTGGAAGAGCACATGGGATTTCGTCGGCATCGAACACGAAGGAACGCCGTCATCGGTCAGTCGTTGTAGCCCCATGCGCATATCTGTCAGCTCACCAATGGCCAGACGGTGGATCCAGATGCCTCCATGTTTCCACGACCACCCTTCTTCCCAGGGGCGAAATTGAACTTTGCCGAGAACCTGCTGTTCCCTCCCCAGAAAGTCGACCCCGAATCGCCTGCTGTCATTGCTGCGACCGAGACCACGCGGGAGACAGTGACATGGAAGGAACTAAGAGATAGGGTGAGGCGATGCCGGTCGGGTATGCTACATCTACGTCTCAGGGAGGGCGACCGAGTTGCGGGTTATGTCGCCAATCACACGAATGCACTGGTTGCTATGCTCGCAGCGACGTCATTGGGAGCAGTCTGGACAGCCGTCAGTCCAGATACAGGCGTGCATGCTGTCTTGGACAGACTGCGCCAAATAGAGCCAGCACTCCTTTTCGTCGATAACGCGTCCTTCTATAACGGCCGAAGCCATCCAGTCTTGCCCAAGGTCATTGAGATTACTAGGGAACTTCCAACTCTCCAGGCTGTCGTTGTTTTCCCAACGGTTGCATCCGTTGCAGTTGACGCCAGTTCAATACCTGTTGCGTCAGGAAAGGCATACGACTATGCTACCTTTATCTCGCTCAAGTCAACACCAAAGCTCGAGTTCAGACAACTGCCGCCAGACCACCCAGTCTACATATTGTACTCGAGCGGCACGACCGGAGCGCCCAAATGTATTGTGCACGGAGCTATTGGTACATTGCTCCAGCACAAAAAGGAGCATATCCTCCACTGCTCGATTACGCCCCAATCACGGCTTTTCTACTTCACCACCTGTACTTGGATGATGTGGCACTGGCTTGTCAGCGGACTAGCGTCAGGGGCCACGTTGGTTCTGTACGATGGGTCGCCGTTTCGCTACGTGGACCGCTCCGATCCGTCGACGTCAGTGGCGGATGATCTCGCCATGCACCGCCTCATTAATGAGTTCGGCATTACGCACTTTGGTACCTCTGCCAAGTACCTATCCATTCTAGAACAAAAATCGGTCGATCCAGCCGCGGCTGGCCTTGGTCTTGATACGCTCGAGGCAATCTACTCGACTGGCTCTCCACTGGCGCCATCTACGTTTTCCTACGTGTACTCGGCATTCCCGTCGTCTATCAATCTCGGTAGCATAACTGGAGGCACGGACATTATCTCGCTCTTTGGCGCGCCTAATCCGTTGCTTCCAGTCTACGAGGGCGAGATCCAGGGCCCTGGTCTGGGCATGGCTATTGCTGCATACGATTTCACAGGCGCCGACATTTCGTCGTCAGGTGAACCAGGCGATTTGGTCTGCACCAAACCATTCATATGCCAGCCAGTGGCATTCTGGGGCACTGACGGCGAGGCAAAGTACCGCAAGTCGTACTTTGAAAAGTTTACCAACGAAAAGAAGCAACCTGTGTGGCATCACGGTGACTTTGTGCGCTTCAACCCGGAAACTGGTGGACTATGGATGCTTGGTCGCAGCGATGGTATCCTCAAGCCTGCTGGCGTACGATTCGGATCTGCCGAGATTTACAATGTGGTGCTCCAGCATTTCCCAGAAGATGTGGCCGACGCACTATGTATCGGCCGCAGAAGAGAAACAGACACAGATGAAACTGTGGTGCTGTTCCTCAAAATGGCAGATGGACGCCAAATGACATCTGACCTGGTCGACAGGATCAAGTTGACGATTAAGAAATCGCTCAGCGCACGCCATGTTCCTGCAATTGTAGATGAGTGCCCGGAAATCCCAGTGACGACCAATGGCAAAAAGTGAGGCCCCCGTATCGACTAGAGTGTGTGTCAACGTACTAACGTGCCAATAGGGTCGAAGGAGCTGTCAAGCAGATTCTGTGCGGAATGAACGTAAAGACAAGTGCCAGCGTGGCTAATGATGAATGTTTGGATTGGTATCGCGAATGGGCGCGTATGCACTGAGGGTAGTAATGCTTCCTCGTGACCAGTGTAGTATATAGAAAACCCTCTCCGGAGAAGAAGAAAAAATAGACAGGAGAAAGGAAATAGACCCGAACGCCTAATGAAAAAACGCCACAGCACCCCGGAAATGGGTGGGTTCCAGCCACGTGGGTGGCAGCCTGTGCCTGATGAGAAAACTCCGTCTAAGGAAAACAAAAATGCGTGTCTCGCTCCTTGCTCTTATGCCTTGAAGTCGTAAAAAAATCGTTACTTCATCCCGAAACTCGACTGGGGTTTTTCAAAAGTCACCAAACCCATCGTTACCCTCCTTGGTGACAATCTCGCGTACAACGCGGTCCACCTTTTCACTCAGCCCAATAACGACGTTGCGGCCATATGCGACTTCCTTGGTAACGACGACCTTGAAGCGGCCCGGGGCGCCGTGTATACACACCATGGCCTTGTGGCCGAGCAGAGCGTTATCTGGTCCGCGCACGTCGACGACGCTGACGGAGACTTGGGAGGGAAGAACTTTGTAGCCTGCCGTGTATTTGACCAGAAAGGAGATATTGCCTACTCACCGCATGCGATTAGTTTATTGCTTTTTTTGATCTTTCTTGTTTGTTTGTTTTGCCGTTATTTCTTCTCCACCTTCCACCCGTTTGGGCAAGATCCAGATGAAGGGGGGAAGCAGAGATAGGAAACAAGGGCATAGAGAAAGAGGGGGGGAGGAACGCACCAGCAATAGTCTCCACCACATGAATCGGCAGCTCGCCGCGGCGGGGACTCAGATGCGAGAAGATCTGTTGGTGAACGGGGTCGGGAAAGACGTTTTCCATGTTGAGGTTAGACGACAGGGTCAAAGATGACATTACTTTGTGCTCGAGGAAAAGTTATGGATTAATGTTTTATGGAATGGAAAAGAGGGAGAATGGGGGAAAAAAAGAGAGCAAAAGGGTAGTATGTAAGTTATGCAAAAGCGAAAGTGAGTCGAGTCCGCGCCCGCCCCCCTCCCCGAAAAGGGTATACGTGATGGTAGGTGGTTTAAAAGTGGGGGCGTGCGTTTGGGACGAGAGGTTGACCGCCAGTTAGAGCCGACCACGTCCGTGGTGCTTTGACCACTTTTCCCACGACAGCAACGAGAGAGGGTCCACCACGAAGGGGGCCGTGTCGTGAAACCCACCGACATTTGGGATTGAGTGAGCTGTTCGCGTGCGTAGGCTTTGAGGGATCGTGGTCTACGTACGACAGCGTGTGGCGCGGCGTTGTTTTTTGGTGGCTTGATCCGGGTAGCCGAAAAACACCGGTTGCCGACGACACCGTGTACAAAAGGCCTTTTGCAGGAAGATTTATATTGTTGCCTGAAATAATGGATACTTAGATACCCCCCGTATACTTTGTGTTAATACAATAAATCAAAAAGAAAGTTTTCCAAAGTCATGCATACACATACAGACCATACCAAACATAACGCCATCCAACCAGCATGCAGAGGGCATACTACATCTACAAGTCGCGTCATCTCCCTTCCTTAATCTTGACAGCATCGGCAAGCATAGGAAAGGCGCCTCTAAAGCTGGGACCTAGAGTCCAGTTGTTGAGGTCGCGCAGATGCGTCTCAAAGGCTGGGTTGATGAGCCATTGATCGTCTTCCTTGGGCAGTTGCTCAATGCTCGGTATGCAGGCAGCTGCATTGCCAGTGAGCGGCTGCGGCGTTGCAGGTCCCTGTGGCGAGCCGGCATTCACGTGCGTTGAAAAAGGCGACGATGCCGAGATGGACGACGTGGTGGAGAGAGTCGAGGTCCGGACTACCGAGGCAGGAAGCAGGCAATCGCGATGCTCATAGGGCCAATTGAGGGAAACCGTGGTAGTGAAGGGGATAAAGAAGTTCTCAAACGAGACCTGGGGTTGCGCGGCAACGAGCTTGTCGCGAAGACGGGGCCTGAACCGGATTAGTCATGTGTGTGGGAGTGTGGGTGCGTTTGACAGGGGACATGTGGGGAAGTTCCAGGGCAAAGCATGGCAAGACAGGGCACGACATACCAAGGGAGATGATCGATCCACAATGCATGCGCGGTAAACAGCTGCGACGGACGTGGGGTTACCCAATGTGGCAGTCGGTCGTAGTTTTCCTGTGTTGGCTCAATTTGCCAGCGCATGATCAGGAACATGATGAACACGATAGCCACCTGCTCCGGGCGCCCGCAGATGTCTGGAAATGTGCGCAGGATGTCTGTGAAGAGCTTGGATAACGGATGCGACTCAACAGCGCGGTCTGGGTAGGCCAGCGAGGTGAAATTTGGATAGTGAGGGCCGACCAGCGTCTTGATCGGCACCCCCTCGGCCGCGCGATTCTGCCGGTCCTGGAGGAAGTCGAGCAGGATCACGTCGAGCGGACAGGTGGCAGGTAGATTGCGCGGCAGCGTCAAGTGGGCGACCATGTTGGGGGCATACTGTGCGTGCTGGCTGGTGCTGACGTTGCTGGGGCGCATCTGATGTGGAGGTGGCAGGTTGGGGTCGACGGCCCTGCGCTGGCCGTTGTCGAGCAGGAAGTCGACACCTAGACGCTCGTCAAAGGGCATATCGGTGTTGATGCGTGCCTGGTGGAATTGAGGACCTGGACTGTCGCTCGAGTAGCGGCGCAGATGGCTCGTGGGCGCATCGTTGGGATAGAGCCACGCGCCTGTGCCTATGGCTGCGTTTGCATCGTGCACGCCGGGTGAGGGTACACCATTGTGCGGTGAGGCCGAAGCAATGGGGGCATGGAGCTGGCGTACATCGCGTTGTTGTAGATGGTGGCTTTGGTTTTGTTGTTGATGTTGCTGCTGTTGTGGAGGCTGGACAGGAGAAAGGGGCGAGCGTTCAGCGGCGGCTGCGAGTTCTACAAGTCGTCAGTAGTGATTTTTCCACGCTCCATCTGTCGTTTGTGGTTTCTAGCTTTATTCGTCTTCTTCCTCTTCCTCGTCCTCTTCTTCCACGTCCTGGAGTCGTACCGTTCAAGCCGCCGGTGGCGCGCACAATGGGCTGAATGATGCTGAGCACGCTCTCGAGGCGCTTCCTGATGTCGGCATTCTCCGCCTGGATGGCCTCCTTCTCGCGCAGGACGACCTGCAGGTCGCTGTAAGGCTGCTGGCTCTCGAGATCGCGGATGCGCTGGTTGAGGGCATCGATCTGGTTCTTTGTGCGCTCGCGAATGGCGCGCTGGGCCTCTCGGTCGTTTGCGCGCTTGCGGGCAAGCTGTTCGGGGGTGAGGTTGGCAACGCCGCGCGAGTTTGGGCCGGTCCTGCGCTTTTTACTGGGCTGGCCACCATCGCCCGAGCCCTCGTCCCTAGGCGTAGCCTCGGGTGTATCTGCCTCGCCCGCAGACGCCATGCTGATCATGGAAGCTGTGTGGGATGCGATTCAGGATCGATTTGGTCAAATCCTGTCCCGAGTCATGAGCCCTGGCGCTAGCACGCAGTGGGGCCTCTAGCAATGCGGGGAATGCATGCCATGCACCCCCATTCACCTCCATCCTTCCCGTCATGCACCGCTGCCGAGGGTCAAGCTCACGGCTCCTCCGGATATCCCTCCCCGCCTCTCCATTGCACATATCCGCCATGGCCCCAGCATCAGCACTGTCTTCAGCACTACGTTGGTCACACTCACCACTACATCATCCACCCTCAACACCATGGCTGACCATCACGTGAGCAGACTACACATCGCTTCGGCTACACTAAAAGCTAGTACGCGTCCCCATCCTACCTCTACTACATACCATCCCCTGACATATCCGCAGTCGGCGCAGCTCTACAACGCTCTCTAACCTCGCCCTTCAAAGGCGACAATGGCTCCAACACATACTTCAAGGATATCATGTTTGCCGTCTTCCGGGCCAACATGGGCAACCTTGACCTCGTCCATGACCGTTACTTGAACGGAGGCTCTACAACCACAAACTATGTCAAGTATGCTGAGCAGCACAAGTTCGCGCCAGACAGCATAACCCTGCCAAGTGGCACACAAGCGCATTGGTTGGGAAAAAGCAATGCATCCAAGGTCTTGGTATACTTCCATGGTGGGTCAAAGTAGCCGTGTATTACCCACAGTTGGACCCTGAAAGCTGACTATGACAGGCGGCGGCTATGTTCTCCCTGCTGGACCTGGCCATATACTCTGGCTCGACGACTTCCAAAAATCTCTCGGTCCCGATGTGTCTGCATTGCTTCTCGCATACGACGTTGCGCCCGAGGCTAAATACCCTACTCAGCTCAAGCAAGCCATCGAGCTTCTCAACCATCTAGTATACACCGAAGGTCGCAGTCCCTCTGATCTCATACTGGCTGGCGACTCCGCTGGCGGCAATCTTATCCTCGGAGCCCTTTCGCATATTGCACACCCGCATCCAGACATCACACCGCTCTCGCTACCTGACAGGCTCCATGGTGTTTTGCTAATATCACCATGGTGCTCACTGACCCAGACCAATACTCCTGCATTTACCACAAACGCCGAGCGCGACATGGTTGATGCCAGGGTTCTCAACCGATGGGGTGCTGCATTTCTTGGCTCCGACTCTCCCTTTGCTGGCGACTTGTACAACGAGCCTGTTCTGGCACCTCCGGATTGGTGGGCGCCTCTTGCCGATTTTGTGGACGAAGTCCTGATATGGGGAGGCGATAATGAGGTGCTCAAAGATGGCATTGCAGCTTTTGCGGAAAAATTTACCAAAGGATTTGGTACCAGAGGTGGAATTGTGAATACCGTTTTTACGCCGAAAGCGTGCCATGAGGAGATGATTGTAGAGAGAATCCTGGGATATAAGGGTGACTCTGGAACAGGTAGTCAGCAAGTCGTGGAGACGTGGGTGAAGGCGAAGCTTTGAGTCAGCATTTAAGCCGTTTGTTTGTCTACATCGTGATTAACTTACATCCCTTCGTACCGGAATAACTGGCGCCAAGATGTTTGTAGGGGCATCTCTGCGCTAACTAGACCTGGTACCTGCTGCATACATTGCACCTCAGTAGAGAGGACATCTTGATCAGCCGTTCTGTGCATCTCGATCTACAGCATCACACTTCAATCTAGTAGCAGTGAAGTCATTGGGCGTTGAAGCTGGGATGACCGTCGTGCTGTAATTTTTGCATGCTTCATTGGCCGAACTGTTTCACGAGGTTACACAAATACTGCAACTGCGCCGCAGGCGATGATAACCCCGCCCCAAGGCAGCGAAGATAAGAATCAGGCTTCTGTTCCCCCCATCACTCACGATCCAAAATACTCCAACATTCCGAGGGGAAGGAAACATGGCTTCTCCATCCACTACGAAATCAACACCTGCCGTCGCCAGTAGTTCCTCTTCACTTCACCCTCGCCTCACCTTTCGCGATTGGCTACGTTTCGCCCTCTTTCTGTTCATTCCCCTCTACGCCCGATTTTACATCTCGCCCTCGCTCTCTTCGCTCTTAGGCCACATCTACGTCATCGGCACGACTGGCATTTCCATCGTCCATTTCCGTGGCGATGTCGTGGGTCTCAGTCACGTTGCTGATGTCGCTTACGGTGTCGCGATATCTAGCGCTCCTCGCTTGGGTAGATTGTATTCATACACTGCGCGGATGATACCGAATATTGAGGGTTGGCGTGGTGAGGTGCTTGACTGGGCTTTTATAGCGAGGTCGGTGATGTATATCCTGCCGGAGATGTATGGGAAAGATGTGAAGGTATGATTGATTGTAGCTGGCTGGCTGGTTTAACACGGGAATTGACGTTATCTAGAAACTCAACGAGGAGTACAAACATGCCTATCCAGGGTTTCCTGTCTGCGTTTTATCCTGTTGTGTACCTATCGTATGGTGTTGCTTCGGGGGAAGAGGATATTCATGGTATAACCTTTTCTTTACCTGGAGCGTTTTGAGCCACTTTTTCGAAGATGTATACCTGATATGTCTAAATTATCGGTAAGCACATTGGGTCTTAATTATCCAAAAGATAGATTCACTGACGATCAAATATAGCTCTCTTTGCAGATCTGGAAAAACTGTACGAGAGGATTCGTGGCCGCATAAGGATGCGACCAAGAAATCAGGGCGTTGGATGAATGGACATGGGAGAGAACTTACTCTTGGAGAAGTGATTCAGTGGCACTCGACTGGCAGCATAACACCAAAAACTTGAAAATCTTCAATATGGGATCACGTGGAACAAAACGGCATACATTCTGTACGAGCACTGCAGGAATCAAGATTTCAAGCAAACTTTCTTTTGGGCTGTCATCAACGTCTGAGATTCTTATATGGCAATCTTCGTTAGACAAGTCAAGTATTAAATTGTTCTAACCTTTGGACATATTACATTTTCAATATGATTCTTGAGGGACTATTTGCAAAGTTCCTTCAGAAAGGGAAAGTTTCATTCTTCCAACGAGGGATTTGGACAGCAAGTCTTGTATTCCAAAACTCGTTTTCCTAGTACTCTGATGAAGGAGTGACGTTCCCTGTTGGAAGCGACCGCATTTGACCTATTGTTACTTTCCAATCTCTCTGGCTTATTTGGAGATATCTAACTTTAATAATGTTTACTGCAATCAAAAGTTTAGTCGCTCTGGGAAAATGCGAAGGATAGTTATTTTTGACGACTTGGAAATTTCTGTGGAATTTCCTGAGAATTTATATTTTCAAAGCGGTTAAATAGATGATAGAAATCAAATTGGATGATGTTAAGAGGCGTTCTTGGGGGGTTGTAGGTAGGTGAACTTATCTCAGATGAGTGACGTTGGATATATGAGGCGGGACCAAACTTGATGAGGCGGGACCTGAGGCGGGACCTGAGGCGGGACCAGGCTGGGCGCCTAAGGTCTTGCACATTCAAAGTCGGGCCTTGCAAAGAAATGCACAGCCACCAGACCACGAAAGCCTTTTCTTTGTGAACTTCCAGAAGATTTGAAATCCGGTGTTATTTGCGGGATTACTGACATATATTTTAGGTCCCGTGAATACCCACATAGTTTGTGAAATCTCGGCTACAGTTGGCCAACTTACGCGGCTTCTGGCAAGTTCCGTTCGCCCACTCCACACCGCTGAATTCCATCAAGACACTATCAAGCTTCGAATATCGATTCGTTTCGAAAAACCTGCCTTTTCCAGACCTGATTACCAAGCTCGGCTCCAGAAATCTGGTTAACCAGAGTTTGCGTTACGACGCTTCGGCTAGACCCTGCGGCGGTCACCCGTCGGTAATTGTGATACTTTAGGGTTCTTCTGGAAAGATGACTGTGACGCTCGTCAAAAAGCTTGGTGGTTGTGTCTAACACTTAGTCTCAAATGTTATTTTTTATTTCAGCACCGATCTGAGGGACATTCGTACAAGTCGTGGACATCGAAGTAGCTGTCATCTGCAACCGGTGAGGGAGCTGACATGCGCTGAGTCTTGCGCTACTGCAGAATTATGTCTATTCGGGTCTGGGGGAAAGGGTCTAGAGCATCCTCGATATTTCGTGGCTATGCTTGTTGAATGCATTTCTGTCAGAGGCAAGGTGCGGGCACTGCTCAAGGGATCGAGGGTTTGACTCCTAGTGGATTTTTCGCTGGTATCGGTGAGTCGGAAATTATACTCGAAGAAATAACAGAACTACACTTACACTCTTCGAAAACAATCCATTGTACGGTGGATGCTTCGCTGTATCTTCGCTTTATCTATCATCCAAGTATACAATAATTCAGTAGCAAGGGTTTTCAAGCATTCTCAGATGGTGGGAAAACCTTATTCATCCCGAAGTTTCCGAGTGCCACAACCTTGATGGTGAAGGATCTTTGGTACACCTATCTTTCTATATTCAATTTGTCACATGCAGCGGACACACAGAGGGGGTCATGCAAGGTTGGCCCTATCATGAAGTGTGGAGGAAGCTACAAAATCCCAATGGGTGTCAAGGCACTATACCTATTTGAGCTAGAAACTCACTTTGCTGCACTGAGCCATTTATCCTTCATTCCATTATCAGCTATTCGTTTACGCAAGATCTAGTTCCACGGTTCTGAAGCCACTTCTAGTGTCTGTGACGGAAGTCAAGACTTGGTAGTGCGAGGAAGACTGCAGTTGTCACCATGATGTGCGATGTGCTTTGATCAATACCTCAGAGATTCGGTTTTTAGGCTCTTTGTATATTACTTGATACAGTAGCAAAATAAGAGGCTGAGATTTCTATGTCATCCCAACTCCGCGATTGGGAATGAACGGGACTATGATATTACCGGAGATTGCCATTTCAGCACGCTCGATTCTCATCTGATATACTAGCAAACTGTATCAGCTATCTTAGTATCGCTACTAGACTGTTGATGCACTTTTATGTAACTAGGTAGCTTATGGGTAGACTAGGTCAACTTAGACCTGCAGAAGTCAAGATTAAGTCTTTTTTCCCGAAGCCTAAAAAGGTTGCAGATCATCCTCTACATATGCGACCACCCCATGGATGACTTTTAGATAGAATATTGAACATTCACATACTCGTCTTGCCTACGGCCGAATAATAATTTTATTTTCATTTTTATTTTCAGAGAGATGTTGAGATATTGTTCTATGCTAATCATCTGTCATCAGATCCGTTGACACATGCGCTTCACGTGCTCTCACGCTTCCCATATCTACACCTTCATAGTGTATCGTACAGCCACACCGAGAGAATAGGAAGCAATCAAGATGCCCAGTAATTTAGCCTAATCTGACCCAGTCTGCAGTGACATACAAAGCGGATTTGATTGGGTGTATGTCAAGTCTTGGCCAATCGGGTATGGACGGCTGTTCGGGCGCATTCCTTGACATGTATGCGGAGGCGATTCATGTGGACTGATGGACCAGGGCGAAGGTCCGAAATGGGCAACTGATTTTTCCATGAAAGGAAGGGGATTCGTGCTTACTTATGTTGAGGCTTGTGGGCTTGGAGATTGGAGTTTGGAGTTCGGAGTACTAGGCTTGTAGGTGATCGGCGCCGGATGGAGAGAATCGTATGATCCTAAGGTTCTAGAATGCATCTTTTCTTTGCATGTGGCCAGTTTTTGAATCAATAATATTGTATAGAAATCATATTGTTGGGCAGTCTGTCCGTACATGTTTTTTGGCGGTATTCAATGTTGTTGGCAATACTCTTATGTCTGGTGCGTGGATGGTATTCCTCGATATACGTCATAGCATTGCATGCGCTAATCTTTGGATCCTTGGAAAGCATCTTCTTGGCTTCTGCTCCTTATTTTTGGAGTACATGGCTAGAGTAGACGCGTGTAGAACTGTGTTTTGGGCAGCACAGCAAGGACTTGCTGCATTGCTCAGGTCTCAAGTACAACGCTGCAGCGCTGCTGGAGTCGGCCATGGTAATTTGCTCCATTTGATGCCCGACTTGGTTCCAGTGTGCATGAGGCACGATACAGGGTATTTACGCCGTTTATGCATAGTGCACTGCCTGGTAGTGTGAATCGGGCCCCTCTTGTTCGTTAGGAGCATATCCATGTGGCCGTGGACAAGCCCATCATCATTGCTCAAGGAACCCAAAAAGGGGCTCGCCGCGTCAAGTATCCTGACAGAAGGTGCTGTCACAGGGGGGTTCGTCGATCAAAGCACGAGTCATGCTTTATCTCGTCGCGGCCACAGTATATCAGGTCTAGGGGCTGCCGGATCATCCGCTTCAGTTCGCTCACCGAGTCTGAACTATCTGAAGCAGTTCATCTGGTCAGAAACAAAAAAACAGCTTCTGAGTTCGGTGTATGAGTGTCCTTGACATTTCCAAGCGTCTAATGTCTTGCTTTTGAAGTCGCTGGCAGGCTTATACATCATTGTGACGGAATGCACCATCCTGTAGGTGTACGCTGGCGCTTCTGTCATGTGCCTGAGATCAAATCATACGAAGTTTACCCCAGCAGTGAAAGAAGCATGCGGTCAGCGGGTCAGTGGGCCGATCGAACGGTTGTTGGGTTCAGGTTGATGACGAGGAAAGTTTCGGAACAGTTTGACCGCAAAGCTGCCGACCAATGAGTAGACGGATCGCTCTCATCCATTCAGTCGCATCCAGAGTCAGTTTGAGGAGCTTAGGAAGCATTCGCGGGTTCAGGTACTTGACAGTGTCATGGATGTGGGCAGCCAGCGCTTCAGTCGATGGATTCGGGACGTACCGACACCTGGGAGAGGACCATGACAATGATGCACGCATGGAAAGGTAATAACGCCAGATAAAGAATGATTGGTCTTGGTGATCTGCAATGAGCACTAACAGGGGCAGCGTTGAGCATTCTTCTGCCCTGCCACGCGTTAGTCTTCCCCGCATTTCCTTCTTGGGGCGAGGATCCTAGCCCGCGCGGGGTGTGCATATCAGCAACGCACTTGGCCCCTAGCATCAGTCAGACCTCTCCAACTTTTCCCTCTTCTTGCCGCAGAAACCGGGCACTCGCTATGAACTTCGTCGACGTGCAGCCAAAGTCATTTCTCGACTACGCATGGACATCGCCATCTCCGGCAGCAGTAACTGCGACGAGTAAACCATCCAAGACGAGCCGGAAGCAGAACCGGTGTTGTGACCAATGTCGGAAAGGAAAGCGAGCTTGTGACGCCGCTATTCTAGAAGACACCTTACTGGAGACCAGCCGCACTGGTGCTAGCCCTACGGTATTTCACTATAGTGGTAAGCCACGTCCTTCTGTAGGGTAGGTATAGCGTCGGCTGACCATTCAGACGTCTATGGGCCATTAGCTTCGTGTGGAAACTGCGAGAAGACAAAGAAGACTTGCACGTTCGAATGGTTGCGCTCTCAGCGTGTGTCACAAGCTTCGCAACCGCAGCCAACGAATGCGCCATCACCAAAACGACGTCGGACCAGAAGCGACTCAGGTAGTAGAACACAGAAACAAAAGGAATCCCATTCATCTACAACCACTACGAGGCAAACAGAGCCCCGAATACAATTCCACGAACAACCTCTTCTCAACACCACACCGCCCGAACTAGGATTCACCTTCGGCGACTTTCCCTGTGGAGCTTCCTCGTTTGCGATCGACCCTACATCGAGTTTCATGGAGGAGCCATTCCTGAAAGGAGAAATGGACGACACGGAACCTCTCATCGATTATGTAGGCGCGCTCTCCGAAGAAGACTGTAACATACTTGATTGCGACTCGGGCAAAGGTTCCTCACTAAGAACCTTATCAGACGTCAGCGACAAACCCGACGACAGCCCGAGAACAGACTACGAAGCCAACAGCACGACTGATATCAGGCCAATCAGCACAAATGAATCACTTGTGCGTATAGATAGGAAAAGACGCCGGCGCAGCTCTTCAGCGTCTGCCTCATACAGTGCGCCTCCCTACCCAGTTATATCATATGCCGACAACCTTCTCTTTTCCGGTAACAATATGCAACTGTCCGAAAAGCTGCTGAAGATCTACCATGATAGCTTCGAAAACGCGCTCGCCTGTTGGGTCACAGAAAGGACGTGTCCATACAGCGCGAGAACCAACAGTCTTCTCGCCACAAATGCTAGGCCCGATTGGAAAAGTATCTACCACCGAGTAATTCGTCTTGATAGACTGGCGTCAACAATCAGGGGGCGGAAACTCACACCAACTGAGGACCAGGCAGCATCGAGAGCCTTGGACCTTGCTGTCCTCTCTTTTGCTTCACAGTGGGCCCAATCTGGGCAAACAAGTCGGACAAGATACCCATTCCATAGCACTGCAGTCAACGGTAACTGCGGTGTATTCGATGGTCAAGGGGAAGATCATGAGACAGTAGGCTTCGATCGTACCCTTCAAACAACGGCATGGCACGACGCCCGCAATGCATTACAGAAGGCTGGTGAGATAGAGTCGTTCCGAGTGGTGCTTGCGCAGATCATATTTGCATTGACACAAAGGCCTAGTGAGACCAACGACGCGTCTACCAAAGGCCTGGACACTGTCATGACGCATGAAGTACTGAACTCGCAGAATAGCACTGAGCATATCCAAGGCGCGCCGACTACCTCAGTAGACCCAGATGTGGACGAGTGCTCAGATTTGATGTCAAAGTTAGATCTCGCAATTGACGCTGACGGCCCCCCTGTGCATCTCGAATCAGGCCTCCGGCTCATACATTCATTAAGATCACGCATGGCTGTATCAAGACAACAGCGGCGCTTCACGCCTGGACCGAGGCAATTTGGGGAACAAAGACGATCGCCAGCCATGCGTCTTGAGGAAGCAGACCGCGCAACAGTCGACTTACTTTTCTGGCTTGGTGTCACGTTTGACACCTTGTCAGCAGCAATGCACAAGCGGCCACTGGTAGTATCCGATGAAGATAGTGACGTTGTGCTAAACGAGAGTATGCAATCGAATGACTCGGCCTACCCAGAAACGAAACCGAACCCCAAGGCTGTGGGCGATGGTCTTTGGGACGGATACTTGTTTGCGCGTCAGCAACATCCAGAACATACACCGACCAGATGGCCATGTTCGTTCGATCAAGCGGCAACTGCACTCTGCGATGCTGCTCCAGTCAAAGTGTTGCTTTTCCGGAGAGTGTGCCGTATCCAAACACTCTTGACTAGGAATGCTCGAGGTGTAGCGGTCGAAGAAGCTGTCCATGCAGCATTAGATGTATGCAACCATTGGAATGCACTCTATGCACCCTTCATCAAAGACTGCATTCAACACCATGATAGTCTTCCACCACGCGTCCAGTCGTGGTATGTCTGCGTCGCTGGCCATTGGCATCTAGCAACTCTTCTTCTAGCGGACCTGATGGAAGTTGTGGACGAATCCGAACTAGGCCTCGAGGAGACAACAGAACACCGTAACCTGACTGGTTTTATTGCCAGGTTTCGGGAGAACAATTGTCGAATCCTGTCAGACCTTGCGAGCTGCGCGTGTCCAAGTAGTGCCATGTCTTTCCCATCCTCTCGCGAATTCCATTTTACCATCAACGAGGGCGCGTTGCTGACAGATCCATGGACTGCAGTATTGATTCGCGCCTTCGCAAAAGCAGGTGTCCTACTCCTGGAGTCTGAAACACTCTTGCCATCTGACATGGACCAAGAAGACGCTTTTAGAAGAGCAGATGACTGTATCAAAGCTTTGTGGTTCTTGGGAAGAAAATCCGACATGGCTCTTGCGGCTGCAAGAATACTTGGAGATGCGTTGAAGCAGCGGCGCAAAAGTGCGCAAGACCGGATCAGTGACATGAGTACTTTTCTCGAAAGCCAGCTATGGCACGACCTTGACGGCTTGAATGAGGCTTTCGATGTAGAATGTGACCCATAGCTTGTCAAAATGTATTATTATCGCTGGCTTACTCTGTTTGTTCGTGTGAATCCTGAGAGACGTATCAAGAATCACAGAGTCATTTACTTGCAGTGACGCACGGTTCATTCCCACGTGACTTCGCGTTCAACCCGCGTCAACGGGCCGGAGTATCGCGGCACCGCTTGGAACTGGCTGCTGCCACTTCCGTCCCTGAATTACCCCACACATAGTACTCATTGACGGTTATCAGTGCTTTGCTCAAGATTTGATTAGTATATTGATATTAACTATTTGACAGCTGCTTGAGTGTCGTTCACTATCACGCTAGTAAGACACGTAAACGGGCCATTTGTCTAGAGGCTCCCGCCTTACACTATATACACTATGGGCATCCCAGCGTATGCATTCCACTTGAGACTCAGCATCTGTGGGGCGCCTTGCTGATGAAAATGATAGCCTCTGGGACACTATCAAGCGCTACGAAGAAGTTATTCCGATTGCACAGCTCGCTGAAGACCACCACCAGCGTCATGGCAAGCCTCTCAGAATCGCTGTCGACGAGGCTGATTGGCGCTTCAACAATCTCACACCCCAACAAGTCTATGCGATTCGTGATGGTGAGTAGTTTCCTATTCAATGCTGTATTGTACTTATAATAGCAGCGACCAATCAACATGCATTTCAAGGCATTGAAAAGGCCATGTTCTACCGCCTCTGTCGCCTCCTCACGCTAAACATCCAACTCATCTTCGTTTTCGACGGCCCTGGCCGCCCTTGGAAGCGGGGCAAGAGAGGACAAGGGCGTATCAATTATGAAGAGAGGTGGCTTCTACAGGAGCTGCTCAAATATCTCGAAGTTCCATATCATGAAGCCCCTGGCGAGGCAGAAGCAGAATGCGCTCGTATGCAGGTACTTGGTATGGTCGATGCTGTGTGGTCACAAGATTCTGACTGCTTGATGTTTGGCTGCACCCTTTGGTTCCACGATCATCGTGTTGCGAAGAATGAAGGCGTAACAGATCGCTCCAAAGAGAACACGAAGAAAAATGGCAAGTACGCCAGTGTGGTACGAGCCATTGACATGAAAGAAAGATACAACCTGGACCGGGAGGGTCTGGTACTTTTCGCCATGCTCGTTGGTGGAGACTATGATCAAAACGGTCTACCCCAGTGTGGACCTGGTATAGCTCTGCAGGCTGTGAAGGAAGGGCTTGGGAAAAGCCTTTGTGAGTGTCGAAATCAATTTGATTGTCAACTTTGGAGTAAAGAGTTGGCACAATTCCTGAACACCTCCTCTCGAAGACGAAGTATACCTGTACCCTCGATGTTTCCAGACTATGACATCCTGAAAAAATACTACCGTCCGAAAGTCACCAGTGACCAGGAACTGCTCCTGGCATCAAGGCTCAACTTGGAATACATCCGCCCAATCCAAGAACATGAACTCCTCAAGCTGACAAGTGAACGCTTCAACATCTGGGGACGGCTTTATATGAATTGGATCGGTCCAGTCCTCCTTACTCGAGACCTCGTATCAAGGGACCCGTCTAAACCGAAGGAGATGATGCACGAAATTAGGGTACCTAAGCAGCGATCCAAGAAGACAGAAGATCAGCCACCAATGCGAACTTTTGAGAGAAAGATAACGTTTTCACCTTTTGGTGTCACAAGTCTATGCAGGGATGACTTTGAAGGCTCACAATTTGGACACTGGAATGGTGACGACAAGGTATTGTTCGACCCTGCACATCGCGTAGAATGCGAGATGCCTGAATATTGGCTTCGTAAAACTCTTCCGGCAGAGGTATTCAACTCTTCACTTCCAACACCCAAGCCGTCTTCCAAAAGGAAGCGGACAGCAGATGATGTCGAGGAAGCGACGGACTCACCTTGCAACAAGCGGATATCCAAACCCCGCAGAGCTCTTAACTCAAATACGTCTGTGCCAGAGTCAAAAACTCCGTCCAAGGTGTCTAAACCTGATTTTACAAGTTCGACAAGTACACGAAAACCGATCGAATTCATTGAGCTTTCTGATTCGGAAGACGATGAAACCCTTCGAGTTCCTTCGATTCCCTCGTCAAAACAACCATCTTCTATAGAGGCTGCTAGATCTCACCCTAGCCTTGGTCCATCTGCGGCATCTAATATAGCGGTCCCTAGCATATCTCAAAAAAATTGGGAAAATCGGATTCCATTAGATCTAGCAGATGAGGATGATGAGGATGATGATGAAGATCTTCTGCTCGCTTTACGTCTCAGCATGCAAGAAGCCTCCAGCTCCACAATGCATTCGTCGAACAAGGGCAAGTTTGACGATATCTTCGCAATGAGAGAAGAAGGTCGGAGTGTAGGGGGGTCAGCTGTACCTGCTTGGTCGCTTGACCAGGCACTGATCTCCGATTTGCTTCTACCAGATATTCCAACGTCAAATCGACAAGCCAGAAGCATTGCGTCTACAAGTAACAATCTTTCCCACAGTGCCACTCACGCAAATTTGGCTAGAGCGGACTTTGCTGAGATGCATACCCAACCTTCTTCTAAGCGCTCCGAGGTAGTACGAAGTTTGGTACCATCACCCACAAAAGGAGAAGATATCATTGCTTGTCCGGAAGCGAGCTGCGCCACACCTACCAGACATTCTCTTGATGAAATTCGAGCTGCTCGACTTCGACATTTTGGCGCGACTTCCGTGACCAATACCAGAGATGTGGGTAATGTCGCTTCATCACCACCTAGGGCTACGCTGGTTAGCCGTGAAGTATCTTCTGGAACTGCGCCAACAGACATTGAGTGCATTGATCTGACCGAAGATTAATCTTGTCTCTGCAACGTCTGGAAAATTCACCATGAAGCAAACGTCCACCTCAAAGAATATCATTCACATGGGTATGTCTCATCGGTGTACGTATCTACTACAATCGGCGCTGATTCATTATAGAGACAGCTCACAAAGCGGATACCTCGTTGATAAGGAGGAACAAAGAACTTTTTTTCGGGGATCAAACAGGAACCTCGACAATCCCGACGTTCTACCACAAAAGATCAACCATGCTAGACTCCACGTATGTCTACCAAGACGCGGTCGACAATGTCATCGCAGCCTTTAAACCCGCCAATGATTCAAGCGACAATCTCATCTGTGTCGTGTGCGGACGAGAATATGGAAGTGCTGGGCCAGGTTTCGAACCTGATAACATCAACTTCCTGAGCCAACTGCCCGGCCCCACCAGACGAAGATACATTGAAGACACCGTTGAATCCATACAGACACTATGCAACCATACCTTCTGTCTCCGTTGCATAAGCTTCTGGTGCCAGGACAAAGCGATATGCACATGTCCCATGTGCCGTCATCCAATCATTCTTAGAAGAGACCCCGCCGATCTCAAACGTCCAGATCAGGACCTATATTGGGATGAGAATGACGCGTTGTGCTTGTCACCCAGTTGTATCACCGCCTTGGGTTGGGAAACCCGTAGTATTTTCAAGCTGCAAACACGAGACCTCGTCACAACAATGAAGCCCATGCCTTTCCGATGGATCAAAGAAATCATGCTGCACGACTTGCCCGTCATCATGGTCAGTGTCGCGCGTCGCTTCTACTATCACGATTTGAGACCAAAGGAGACCGTACCGTGCGATCTTCCGTCTCTAGCACGGCACGATCCAGGGGACATCAATAACGGACTACCCGAAATTCGCACTCTGGAAGCACTGGCTCACGACGACGCCCCGATTACTTACCACAAAGACGCTTTTCGGCTGTATGAGGGCTTGCGTGACATCATTAACAATCCGCGGGGTATCGCTTTTGACAACGAGACATGTCAGAGTTGGGGAAAGGCTGTGCTGGCAGTTATGACTACACTTACGGAAGAGAAGACGCTCGTTGGTACGAGCGGAGGCGTGTCACAGAGGAAATGGTGGATGTATGTGTGGTGCGTCATCAAGGCTTTGATGGTGTGGCAGGCGTATGCTGAGCGTTTGCGTGTTGTGTGGCGCTTGCGGGAAGAGCGGGGTGAAGATGAATGGGTGGATTAGGAAGCGGATGAGTATGATGAATCAGATGATGAATAGTTTATTTAGACGGATAGAGAGTGTTCAAATGGCGAACACCGTTACGGTCTGGGAACGGCCGTCTGTAGTTTGGAGTACTTGGAGTCCGCCTGATAAGAATATATATAATTCGTAAAGTTCTGATCGATCCCGTATTACTGCGATTGTTTTTTGCATGCATGATCAATACCGCTTGAAGATTGGTATTCTCAGCTTGTGTTGTGAGCAAGCGGCTATGCCCATTCTTGATGGTAGTGTGCCAATCCCTCGTGACCGTAAGAATACACACCCACTTTTGGGCCAGTTCGCGGAGTTCATGCTGCACTTTGAGTGCTAAGGATGGACAATAGCGGCTCTGTCAGACCTCCCCCTTTGCAATGTCTGCAAGGTAAGCTGGCTGGGCCAAGCAACTTGGAAGAGCGTACACAACGCTCTCACATGCTCTTGCCAGCGCCTCCGGGGTTCCCTCAACACCGCGGTATTCTTTCTCCAAACAAACAGCGAATGTCACCGATACCCATTCTTCTCAGCGCGGCAGCCCATTCCCAGCACTACCACCCGCACTACTCGCCCCACCTCCACTCTGGACCACCCTCACCCCCGACCTCGGCCCCGGCTGCCTCGCCAACGCCAACCTCACAGGCTCCTCGCTCGCCCTCGCACCCACACCACCGCTCGCCACCCCCGCCGCACCACCACTCCTCGCCTCCCCCACCGGCCCCCGTCTCAGCAAATCGTCCAGCCCCAGATCCCGCCACGTCGGCTCCTTCTTGGCCTGTGTCGCGCGCTGGATCCCGAATGCGGCGTGCTGGTCTGGCACGACGTCGTCTTCGTCTTCCGGGTTTACGGGTTGCAGGTGTGGGGGGATGTAGATGTCTTCTGGGGACAGTTGCGAGGAGGTTAGGTTTGTGAATTGTTCGAGGAGGTCGGCGTGGTGCGACGCGTGCATGTGGAGGTATGTGGCTGTTGAGTCGCGTGTCTGTGGAGTAGTTAGGATTGATGATGGAGATGAGGGGGGCGGTGGGGAATACCATTTTTGTAGAGGACTTTTTCCTCTGAATGTAAAGTCGTTGGGGAGGTTGCTAAGACTGTTGGGTTTGTTGTTCTTGTGGTGTTGATATGATGTAAGTACGGATTACGACCGCTGGTAGAGGACTGGATGGCCCGCGCTAGCCGGATGTGGGTGTCCATAGTGTGCTCCCATCAACCTATTACTAACATCCTTATATTGACCTCACTCCATTGCCTCGATAGTTCCTTTTTCATTCTTTAATGTTTCTCGATTTCCACTTTCTATCTTTTTCTGCTTCTATCTTTTGTATCCTTATCGAGCAGGCCGTGTTCGATATACAATAAGTTATCATTCATCGGGTTGAAGTACTGCAGCGTTATTTGCCGCATCAGCATCCGTCACACGTACCCACTTGCGTATCTGCAAGCCATGTAGCAAGATGGCCACTCAATCCATCCATGACGAGTTTTTCCGATGAGAACTTTCACACGGTCAAAAGCGGGTCTTCGGCTATTCTCGCAGCTAAAACAACGCGTCCACTCTCTGCAACTGACTAACGGCACCTGTCAATGAGGCTCTCTTCACTGAGACAGTATCGCTCGCCTACAGTACTATTGCATGTCTCGCCACCAGTTCTGGGTTCAAAAATAGTCCATCTTCCTAAAGTCGATCCTATGGGTTGCCTTACACTCGAATTGCCGAGGTCACCAAGTTCGTTGTTTGTTGCAGAATCTCCACCCTGCCAGGTGTACGTCATCTGAATCGGCGTACCTATCCGGCTCAGACCGTGCCTACATATTTCTACTTACACCTAACAACTAGGATCTGTTCATTAACTAACTGTTATCGTTGAACCTCCATTCTTCTTGTTCATTCCAGTGATTACCCCGCTCTAGAATTCTACCGCTCTTTGAACCCCCCGACAGTCTTTTCCCATTCCGTTACCATGGCTGAAGGGCGCTGCAACTGCGGAGGCATCGAGGTTTCCGTCCCCGCTCTGCCGGAGAAGTCCATAATCTGCTACTGGTATGCAAGATTCTCCGCGTGCCACCTCACACTAATACGAGCAGCTCAAATTGTCGCCGTGCGGGCTCGAGTATAGGAAGCATCATATACTCTCTGGATAAATCCGAAGTCACTATCAATGACCCCAATGGCAATCTCAAGGGCTACGAAGACAGCGATACAAAGAGTGGGAACACGCTCACTCGTCAGTTCTGCAGCAACTGTGGATGGCAAGTTACACAAAATGCCCCGAAGGATTGTGGCTGATACTACTCTAGCCCAATTGTTTCCCTGCTTGGTCAGAAAATGTTCTTGAAGGGTGGTTTGTTTAAGCAAATACCTGCTCCGGGCCACAAAAGTTTTGCGGAAGAAGAGCCGAGCTGGATGAGGGTTCTAGAGCCCGGCGATAAAAAGATATAAAAGGAGTAGCTACCAGTTTCCAACGTAGTAGTTGGAGCACATCCATAGCTGTGGAATTTTATGTATCTAGTCCATCCATTGGCTAGTACTAGCTCAGCTGAAGACTATGAAGGGATGTTGTTACATCAGCCCGTTAACCCCACTTCTCGGCTGCATAGAGTACTACAAAAATACGACCCTTGCATACACAACGACTCCAGATGCAATTCGTGTAACTTGAATGCAATATAGATGCGATCAAAAGGGGCTAGGCTGATCCTGTTGACTATTCCTAGCTTCGGCGGACAAATCAATGATCACAACATGACAGAAGTACCATATTCGAGATTACCTCGCATCCGCCTCGCATTTGCAAGCCATAACTAGTATTCTTGTACATGTTCAAGTTCATGAGAAGAACACTAGTATAGACTCGCATTCAATGCGAAGAGTTTCCACAACACGGAAACCAACGTGTATATAAAGTGACTATTGTCCTGGCATTTAGACTCACCAATAAGAGCCACTAACACAATCATCTCTTCAACATCAGAAACATCTTCTTTTGAACAATTATGTACTTCAACCCCATTCTCACCGCCCTCCTCTTCACCACCATGGGAATAAGGCCAGTCTCTTGGCGCTGTCGCTACCATGAGAAGTCTAGAATGGGTCTTGTTTGAAAACAGTAATGTCGGGTGCACATTTCCGGACCTGTCGTACAATTATAAAGTTCTCTGTTACTTTTTTAAGGACCGTTTCTTTTCCTACATATGATTTTTTCTTGAGAATTGTCCACCTTGAATATCTGAGGTTTGCGGGTGAAGGATGCCGCAAGTATACTCTATCCATTGAAGCATGTATATTCAACCTTATGATAAAGAAATATTGATACATACTATCATTTTCAATCTGCTTTGGGTACTCTCAACTCCTTTTCGTCATGACAGCTTTTGTAGGCGCTCGCCCTGGCACACTCCTTGCACGATACAACTATGCGAGGGATCCATCATCCAAACCCACTCTTACCCACATCGAACCACTAACACCAAACCATACATCACTCCCGCTTGATTGTGTCCGTTGCCAACGGTACTTGCGAAAGGATTGATGGCAACTAGTTAAATCCCCGGCCAGCCGTTCAACCGGTGTTTCCTTGGCATTCTCCACATCACCCCCATTTCTTCCGGTACCCAATTGCACCGACGACGCCAAACCTCCCTGGACAAATGGGCAACTGCATCACCAGGAACCAAAACTAAATTGCGTTTGCAAGCGCACAGGGCCTGCCAAGCAAGTCCAGACAGATCGGGTAAATTGATGGAGGGGTGCGACGAGATCATTTAAGCATCGTGAAACGTGGCTTTCCACCTGTACATGAACCCGACTTATCCTCAATCAAAATCCAGAATCGGAGTTTTCTTGCTCTTGTCCACTCTCTTCACTTCCCTTAGAACTTCGTCGTGGGGAACCCCGAATGCAATAGGACAGAAAGAGCTAGTCGCGGAAAACCATGTATCTAACCGCAGCAATGTCATCGCCGCGGAACTACCGAAGGAGCACGCGCCTAGCCCTATCCGCTCTGCTCTTAACATCGGTAACGGCATCGCTCAACGTACATGAAGCCCAGAGTGGCGAGGAAGAAATATATTATCTACCGCGCAGCGCCGTAATTCACGATGGCTTTGTCCATAAGCCGCTTTCAACATGTCCCGTCAAGCCTGGTGGCGTGCAGATGTCGTACACATTTCCATGGACTCACACTCCCTCATGTGTGAATATCCAGCAACCAGAAGGAGCCCCAAAAACATTTTGCGCGTACACCAATGTCAACTACAACAATGGCCGCGGTATCAGTTTTGTCACTAGCCCCGAGGTCGCAGCTAGCGTGAGCATGGAGACGTTTGGCATGGCGATTGGTGGCATGGAGGGGCAAATTGGGGAGGAGATGGGTATGTGGGAAGTCAAAGACGCAGGAAGCAAAGGAAAAGGGTTGTTTGCGAAAAAAGATATTGGCGCTATCTTTCCAGGCGAGAGTCTCGTTGTGCAGACGCCGGTTTTGATTGTTGACAAGAGCGCGCTGGAGCCCGAGAGCAAAGAGGAGGTGGAGCGTGTGCTGCTGACGGCGGTGGCGCAGTTGCCTTCGAAATCAAGAAAAATGGCTGTGGAGCTGAGTGGGAATGAAGATGGGTCTTTTGAGGATATCGTCAAGACGAATGGGATTGGATTCACGTGGCCTTGGGTTGACGAGATGCCCAAGCTGCTGAGCGTGACTCCAGAGATTGCTGTGAGTTTTCATGGAGTTTACCAAACGTGCCGGACTAACTTTGATTCAAGCGCATCAATCATGCATGCCGTCCCAACACACTTTGGCGCTTCAACGACTATACACTTACATTCGAGGTGTTTGCGCTCAAAGAAATCAAGCCAGGCGAGGAAATCACACGGAGCTGTACGTGTAAACCCTGCTTGTTCAAAAACCTGTCCAACCACAACTAACATCTTTCAGATGGTTTTGAAAGGCGATCCCATGGACGTCGTGTCCGCTCTCTCGAGGCCAACTTCGGGTTCACCTGCGCGTGCCCTCTCTGCACCGCCTCAGACGAGGAAATCATGGCTTCAAATGATCGTCTCAGCGAGATCAAAGCTCTGAAATCAGTATTACCCTCGGATCCAGATGAAGCGGACAGGACTCTTGAAATATTACCTAGCCTGGTCGAGCAGTTAGAGAAAGAAGACCTGATAGCAGAGCTTCCCTCGTACGAAGAAACCCTGGCGTACACGTATAGCATGTTCGGGGAAGAAGCAAAGGCGAAGTATTGGGCGGGCAGGGCGCAGAAGCACTGGGCGGTTGTGGCGGGTAAGGAGAGTTGGGAGCAGAGGCGGTGCGGAGATATGGAACAGGATGTCAAGGGTCACAAGACGTGGAGGACTTGGAAGGGTCTGCAAGAGGAGGATGAGGAGATTGATGAGGAAGAATGACCGCCTACCTAATGTAAGCTCATTTTTAGGTTTCGGTACCCAGCCAGTGGCCGCTCGCCCAACATCACTTACTGCGATCATGCATACATATATTTCAGTTTTACAATTTTTTTGCTTTACAATCTGAGATTTTGATGATCGGTGTATATTCAAATATGGAATGGAAGTCGCTGTAAAAATCGCGAATCGCTATGCCAACAAATGACATGAGAGTTACAATGTATCCACATAACCATTACCAGAAAAGAGAATGTCTTCACCAGGAATGTTTTGTTCGTCGGAAATGCTATCAGCTGCAGTCAAAGCATCGAAGTCTGGTATATCTGTTTGGTTGGGGCTAGGAAACTCATTGAAGCTGCTAACGCCATCGACGTCATTGAACCAGCCAGCGTTACTTACACCATCAAAATCCAATGGCTCATAGCCGCCAATAGGATCGACAAAGTCCGCTAAACCGTTGCTGAGACTATGGTCATCCAGGATCGGAGGCGCTCCAACATCGTAAAATCCGTTAGCAGTGTTGAAGTCACTTCCACAGGATGACCCCTCTGCATCGGCATTCCCGCTACCTCCAGCAGCCAGACCAGCCTGCACACCTGCCATCATAGCACGACTAAGATTAAGGTGATGCATGATCCTCATATGCGATTTGAGTTTGTCTTTTCTTGTAAAAGGGGGTTTGCGGCCAGGAAAGCCCTCGCTACGGTTGCAAGCCGACACGGGGCACCAGAAAGACGTCGTGAGTTCGTGGACTGAGTTGTGGTGACGGGTGAGGTCTTGCAGTCTCCCAAAGGTTTTGGTGCAATCGGGCCAAGTGCAATGGACTCTGTCGCGCGGTACGACGTGCTCAGAATGGTTGGAAGCGGGAATGTCTCCACTTGAGAAGTATGATGGGCTGCTTTGAGTCTCATTCCCCCCGAGTGATAGATCAGCGATGTGAGTGTTTTCGTGGTAGCGCATGAGGGTATGAGTGCAGTGGTCTACTTCAGCAATCGACGTAGAAGTTGGGGCGCCAAGAATAGGTGTCGAAGTTACCCCAACGTTGAAAGGGGATGTCAAATTGTTACACAAGGCCAAAGGGTAGCCTGGGATGACAGGATGAGTAGGCCAGGAACTGTTCGCGGTGGCTTCGTTCCCAAATCCAGGTTCGTTATCATGGTTGAAGCTTTGGATGTATCCAGTATCGTCATCAACGATACTGGTAGCAGCCCAGTGAATCTCACCATCAGTAGAGTCGCCCTCATCGTAATTCTGCTGCCCAGTAAAGTCTTGGTAGGTCGGTGGCGTGTTTTGAATGTAGGTATTCGAAATGCTGAATGTTTGACTAGATTTGCCATCTTTTTTCGACAGCCCACTCATCGTTGTAAGATTGATAGAATACAGGATCGTTTGGAAGGCCCTTGGAGCTCTGCTACCTTTAGTCTGGAGAGAGTATTGCAGGTTATTTATGTCAGTTCCGCGGGCAATCAATCTTTTGTCAGGCCTAAGCTTTGGAGCCTTTTGGGAAACTTTAAAACGATAGGCTTTCTAATATCTATGTTCAGACGGATAGGCCTCATCACTCCTGGAGAATTAGAAAGTGCCCGAAAGGGATCCGTACAAATAGACTAGCGTAGCCGGATCGACGATTGGATGCCTGACATGAATGGGCTATGTTCGGTATGGTTGCGACTGTCAATCCGACGGGCTCACGACGCCCGCTACTAGCAAAAGTTCACAAAAGTTTCAGTCTGTCATGGTCTCGTGAATGAGAATGCCCCTCGATTGTCTGTTTTAGCTTCAAGTCGTAGCACCTACACGTTGGCGATGCAGCTCACCATGTCACTCAAAATCAATCAATGGAGAGTATAGTGTGCCAAGCAAAAAGTAAAACAAAACGTACTTCCGTACGGTCGGGGAAAAGGTCGCCTCGCCGAGCGAACGGCCGCCAGGGGCTCTTGCTTTGCATACGTGCTGGGACTTGGCACCCACTCGGTGGACAACAATTCCGGGAGTCATAGATAACATGTACTTTGTAGGCGATTTTCGCCAGCCGCCTACACCTTTAAAAGATCTCTACAAATCTCAAGACGATCATTTAGAGTATAGTAGAGATAATACGCTTTAAAAAGTATTGTTATTTCTATACTATAGCAATATTTCAAAGGGCTGAAGTTGCTAGCTTTCTAGCGCGTTATCGATTTTAATAGGGTGGCGGCGTGCGCTAGGTCGGTCCATTTCCACCGCGCGGGATCCTATATAATACACCCTGGGGAAGCGCTAACTGTAATGGGAGACTGCAGGACCATCCCGGGTGCCCCATGAAACCAAAGGTCCGCAAAGGTTCTTGTGTAACCGTGATAAGGGGTAAACACCATGAATATAATATTCGCCTTTGATCTCTTCAATTTCCGACAGCCCACCTTTCCATACACCTTAAGATCTTTGAACCAGCTGTACGCACAAGATTTCGTAAACCATTCAACTTCTCACTTGGATTGATACTTATATATCGAAACCCCACTTTGTGCTAGCCTACCTCAAATCATGGCATCAGTTAACGATTTACATGCTGATTCCGATACATATGCGATGGATATAGTCCCGCCGCACTTTCTTACTATAAGCCCAGCACAGGCTTCAACAGCCGGGCCTGAACTCAGCATTGAACCGTCCACTCCAAAACGTATTGGGCGGTGAGAATGAAATCAATATGAACGTTTCGTTAGATTGAATTACCACCGCATGGAGCTGAAGGAGTTGCGCAAACTCATACTCAAGGAGCAAAGTTTTATCGCCAGGTGAAGAATCTTTTGATGTGCCGACAGCTGATAGGTTTTATTAACAATTTTGATCAGCACTCAGCAATGGAAGAAGGCGCTTTCGGGGTGGAACCTGTCCAAATCAATCCCGAAGTCTGTCGCAAAATTCATTAGGAAGAAGACATACCTCCGCCAGATCAAAGCAGGAAACAAAACGTCCTTCAGATACCGTAAACAACCGGTACCAAAGGACAAGATCAAACGGTACACGCAGGGATATGCTAGTGAGGCCTTGTCTCCAATCACATGTACGTGAATCCACTGTATGCTGCGTCAGCCTACGATGATATTTTTATTGACGTTTGACAACAGCCTCGTCTTCCAATCTTACGTATAATACTTCGAAGTCCTCCAATACGAAATATGTAATTCCGGTGAACCAGACCAATCCAAACGATATGGCAGTAATGCCAGAGTTTTATAATGGCCAGGATATCGATGATTTCCTTACAGTTTGTCGAAAGGCTCAAATCCTCACCAAGCATGGAAATTATCCCAGTGCGAAGCTCGCTTTCATGGAGGCTTTGGAAGGACTAGAAGCCCTATTCGACACTGTGCACAAGATCCCCGTCCATATCTTACTTGTCTTTGTTGACGCCGCCATCAAGAACAAGGACTTCTATGGAGCTATGGAGCGACTCTGCAAGTCCTACACTCATCACCAAGAGCTGCTTGGTGACAATGACAAGAATACTTGGCTGAGCTTTGCTCGGCTAGGCTTGATATACGACGCAGAGAAAAAATATGGCCAAGCCCTGAAAACATTCAGTGCTGCAAGAGATGGTTTACGAACAGCATCCGAGACCAGCCAAGAAGACATGTTCAATCTGACCGTTGATTTGAACCTTCAGATCTCCTACGGATACCAAAAATTAGGCGACTTCGAATCTGCTGAAAAGGAGCTGCGGGATCTGATCCGGCAAGCCGAAGCGTTAGGGGACGCTTATCGAAATCAGATCGCCTACTTCAAGCATCAACTCGCCAATCTCTATAACAACGACGAATGGCATCGGGAGAAGGTTCCGTTAGGCAGTGCGGCCCCTCCAAGACAGCGTGTGGAAAAAATTCTTCCAGAGGCTATCCATGACTACGCTGGCACCTTTAGCGAATGTCCTTATTTTCTGTGTTCATTAGAACAGTTGCGAACATACTATGAGACCACAGGTGAAGTACACAAACTAAGCCCCTGGTTTACACGGATCAAGTAGCTAGGCGAGCAGGAGTGGCATAACTACCTAGAACAGTACAGAAGGAAAGCTATCACTCTCAACCCTAACACTTATGCCGCAAGGTATAGTTGGAAGATTAGAAAGCAGATCGCTACTCCTCCTACTAGTAGAGAAGTTTCTAGCGCCTTCTTTCAGCTTAAGCTAGGACACTGTTACCTAAGAGACTTCCTCTTTAAACGAGGAAAAGTAGACTCTAAAGTGTGCCCCTGTAACTATAGAGCGACTCAAGACCCTCCACATATCCTACTTAGCTGTACGCTATTTCAGGAGGCCAGAGCAAAGATGTAAGAAGCTAGCAGGGACCCCCTATCGCTAGCTTTCTTACTACACACAAACACAGGCATACAAGCCACAACTAGCTTTATCAAGGAAACTAAGGCTGCAATACAGACTTGGTATAAAGGAAACCTTGAGAACTAAGGCAACACTCATAGCAGGTGCCCTTGTCCTACACCCACCTTACCTATCTCTTCTACCCGCAAGACCCCCTACTATCCCCCTCAACACTAGGCTACGAGCCTCACCTCGATTTAGATAGGCCCCTCCCCTAACTACACCAAATTGATAGCACTACGTAGATACTTGTAAGCCTCATCAGCTTGCACGTCTTATATAGCCTTCGGGCTGACACAGGACATTAACCAATAATAATAATAATAATAAGCGCCCTGGTCACGGAAAAGATCGAACCAATCCTCAGCACGGCCCGACCGGCAGATGGAACACGTATTGACAAGTACCTCGAGCTGATGCATGGAGCAATATCTTCACTGTGGCGACTTTGCGAGTACGAGAAAGCTCATTGGTGGTTGCATTGGCGTCAACAACAGATTGAGAACTTAGATTCAAAAGGATGCTATTCTTTCGAGGCACTATCCAACCTCATGTTGCATGCCAAGTGTTATCTCGATCGAAGCATGCCCCAGTTTGCGGAACCATTGCTTGAGAAAGCTCAGCAGATAGCTAGGCGTATTCTACCCTCTGGCCATGCTGTCCACAAAACCATAGCTGAGACAATCATTAACAAGGCTTGGACGTATGGGACATGCAATTACTGTCTTGTCAACTCACCAGAACCCAGCTTTCAGGCTTATTTACCTCCTCCTATGTTTTCTACCTGTTGAAACCAATCCAGTGATGATCTAAGCACTGTTCACAACATCTGATTTTTTTACGGTGAGTAATTTGATCTTTAAAATGTAACATATCGTCATGTAAGGTTATGTGCTAAATAAAGTAAAGACAGAGAAGGATTTGGATGCAGAAAAGAGTTGTATTGATAGTTGATTCTACCCTTCAAGGCATAAGAAAAACTACTTCAATCATCAAAGAACTTGCCTTCCCCTTGGACACTATCTACCTTCCAAACATGCACTTCACTTTCCGTCTTCCCCCATCCTTCATCATTTGCTGACTCATTCAAGGTCGTCTCCGCATCACTCTTGATCCTCTCTAGTAACGACTCCTCAGGCAACTCCGCAAACTCATGAATAGCCACCCAAGTCGATGGCTCAGGCTGCGGCTCATCAGTAGCAGGTAGCCCCTTCAAAGCGCGAGACTGCGCATTCGTCCTTGCATACACCAACTTAAAACGTAACGTACGGATGTAATGCGGTTCTTTCGATATCATAGCCGTTTGCTTCCACCCAAAACCGAACATCAGCCATCTTTCAATATTTTGCAAGAAAGGACATGAATTCGTACCTTCTCAAAGAACTCCATCACCTTTTCCTCTTCAGGCTCCCGCTCCGGTCTAATTCCAGCAGTAACTATAAATTTTGCTCGCCCTACCACGCTCAGCACACACCTCTATTGTTTCTCGTAACGAACTTACCATCTCCCTTCCTCTGCGTCACCCCCCTAAACCCCAAATAACTAACCTCGAAATTGGCAAGATCATATATCAAGCCACTCCCCGGCAACTTCTCACTCTCCACGCTAATCCCTCTAAACTTTTCGCTTTTCGTGAAAGCTAGATCAGGCATGGGGTAGCATACCAAAAACGGGGTTGGGTTGCGTGAGTCGCCGATAGGAGATGTTTTAGAGACGTCGATGTAGCGGAAGGCGTTGTTGATATCGCGGCTGGAGAGGACATCGGGGATGTGCTCGGTGTCGTACCAGGTGAGGTAGGTGGATTCGGAGAGGAGGGGGTGCGAGGCGGGTGAGATGCGGGAGCGGACAAAGAGGACACCGGGGCCGGAGATGGGGTTGTGCATTTTTGGAACGGTGGTGGGAATGGGTTTGGGATAAGCGGGCTCGTGAGAGAAGTGTCAAATGTAAGCAGGGGAGTCACTGGGGGTGTCGTAGATCTTATGATGAACGCCAGAAGCTGAAGACTATGATGGTAGCTGAAGACTATGATAGTAGCTGAGGTCCGGATATGTACTGCCGGCGCACGGATAGGTACTGTACCCCGCTTCTGGTACTACCTGAGATAAATTCTGCCATCATGAAGTTCAAGTATAAAGGTTGAGGATGTAAGGGGACCTCAGATGAGAGAAGATGAGAGCACATCTCCATCGCGGGCGAAAAATTCCTGATTGAGACATGTTCGTATGATGAGTAAATAATTCAAATCCATATTTCCACTGTCAACATATAGGGAGTATTTAATATTTCGACCTTCTGCGACCAACCCCTTCAAGAGGTATAGTGGAAGTACAATACAAACCATGTACTGGATAAAATGAGCAGGCCAATGATGCGTGTGACCCTAGCTATTCAATTGGCTTAGTCTCCTGACGTTTTGAAAGGACTCAAAGCTTCGGCTTTTCTACTACTAACTTCTCGAGACCCGTCTTAAGTGCCTCAGTCATGCCATCCTTTCTCGGCCGCCTGCTCTCGCGGTCAACAAAAACATGGATAAACTCTCCAACTGCCTTGACCTCTTCCTGACCCTGTTCAAAGACGCCAATCTCATACGTGACAGAGCTCTTTCCCAGTTTGTTTACCCTCAAACACAAGTCAACGACTGCAGGGAACTCGACTGGAGCAAAGTAGTTGCAATGGGAATGGACGACAAGGCCGATGTCGAGAGACGTTGGTGGGTGCAGTGCGCAGTGCTTAATCAGGTATGTGTTGACAACAGAATCAAAGCTTGTAAAATGTCAGTTGAAAAGAACTCTATAAGCACAAGCGACTCGTGAGAGACATGCAGGTAGTAGTATACGCTGTTGTTCATATGGTGGTACATGTCATTGTCGCTCCTTGGTGCGGTCAGCGTTGCATTGGACAGGGGCACAGCAAAACAACGGACCATCGCGTCCTGTACTCGAGCGAGAAGTTGTAGTCACCGCGACGACGCGACTTGAGTACCTCGAGAGCCATGAATAATATCAGTGGTGTGGTGTTGAGGTGAAGCAGTTCGCGGTCGTGTCCAGTGGTCAAGACTCGGCCATAGCTGCCATTGAGCCTCGGCTCGTTCACGCTGGTCACAGCTGATGGCGTCGGATACATCCGACATCCACCCGATTTGTATCAGCCATAACTCGATTTCTATCCCGCCTAAATAGCTCCCGTCTAGTTGTATCGGAAGTGGCTGATAGCATAAATGAGGTCGATTGCTGCGCCACCCGACGCGGTCGGAAGTGGCATGTGATTGGCCGGACATGATGCTCACCAGCCACATCGTGCTGACCCCCACGTCGTCCCAAGTGGTTTTTTTCGGTACAGACATTCAACCCCTCCAAGCCCCGCGATTCTGGCGCCGTCTCCACGCATCCTCGCATTCCTCGCCTCCAAGGGCCGCCTGCCCGTCGCCCACACTCGCCCAGGCTCACCCTCCATGGCACTCGTGCCTTCTCCTCCGCGCGACAAATATCCGCCTCTGCCCGACGACAAGTTTCCGTGGAAAGAGCCGCCACCCGTGGCCATTACACCCTGCGATCCCTGGCCGCCGCCATACTACCTCGAGGATGGCCTGCGCAAGGTGACGCCTTACCACTACACATACAACACCTACTGCAAACAGCGATGGCGGGGCCGTGAAATCCTAGATATCTTTGCGAGCGAGTTTCGCGACAGACCCGCCGAGTACTACGAACAAGCCATCATCGACGGCCGCGTCGTTGTCAACGGCAAGCCCGTACCCAGCACCAAGACAATTATCAACAACGGCGATGTCATCTCCCACACGCTGCACCGCCACGAGCCGCCCTGTACTGCCCAGCCCATCGGCATCGTTCACGAGGACAATGACATGATTGTCATCAACAAGCCCGCGGGCATGCCAGTCCACCCCGCCGGTCGCTACAACTTCAATTCCATCATCGAGATCATGCGCACTGATCGGGGATACGGTTGGAATCCCCTACCCTGCAACAGACTTGACCGCCTTACCAGTGGTATCATGTTCATTGGAAAACACAAGCAGGCTGCAGAGGACATGAGCGCGCAGATACGAGGGAGAACTGTCAAAAAGGAGTACATCACACGGGTCGTCGGTGAGTTTCCAGAAGGCGAGATTCTGTGTGAAAAGCCCATACTTCAGATTAGCCCCAAGCTAGGTCTCAATCGCGTTCGCGCCAATGGCAAGGAGGCAAAGACAGTCTTCAAGCGACTTGCATACTATCCGCCGAAAGACGATGGAAATAACACCCAAGAACAGGAAGGCGAGAAGGGTCCTGATGGACAGCCATGGAAGAAACTCCGGGGCTATTCAATCGTGCGCTGCTTCCCCGTGACGGGCCGGACTCACCAGCTGCGCGTCCACCTTCAATTTCTTGGTCATCCCATCTCCAATGACCCCATATACGCCAATCAGCGCGTGTTTGGACCGTCTCTTGGCCGTGGGCAATCCGAAGATGAAGACGACGAAGACATCATGTCACGCCTCTCGCGCATGGGCAAAGAAGAAGTGGCCGATGCAGTTGCCTACCACGATGAAATGGTCGATGCATACAACAAACGAAAAGCCGAACGCATGACGGGCGAAAAGTGCAAAGTCTGCGATACAGATCTGTATAGCGACCCAGGCGTGCATGAGCTCGGCATCTATCTCCATGCCAGAAGATATCGATGCGAGGAAGGAAAGTGGGACTATCAGACTGGGTTGCCTGATTGGGCACTCCCGCCACCTGGCTATGAAGGCCCTACTGAGGGTACTGAAGAGAGTGATCCCTTGGCTGTTGATTTGAAGAAGTTGGGACTGGAGGACGAAGAGCCTAAAGAAAAAGTCGAGACTTGATAGAAAAGTTATTAGATTAAGATACCCCGCAATGCATTCTCATTTGGTGATTATTCCTTTTCACTCTCCTCACTTTCATCTTGATCTTGTTCTTCATCACTGTCTTCTTCATCAGCCATACTCGTCTCAGGAGTGCCTTCTCTTTCCCTAAGCTGAGATTTCAATCCATCGAGAATAATCGTCATTCTCGCCTTGAGATCAGCATTCCAAACCAAACTAATCTGGCTCTCCATTTCCTGAATCTTCTTCCGCAGCTCCTCCGCAACCGCATCTTCCTCTTCATCCTCGTCCTCGCCATCCGCAGTCCCAGGTCCATCTTCCACCTCAATCCCTGCACCAAACGCATCCGCAAAATCCACCGCCATCTTGCGATTCGCAATGGCGAAAACAACTTCTCCAATTCCAGACCACGTCTCCATGGCTCCATCTTTACTCTTCTTCCTACCCCCGGCCACACCCCCATCTAGCACCCTCTGAAATGCCTCCGCAACATCCCTCACCGGATTCCCATACGCGCCGCACCCCCAAGCACCAAGCACCAACCTACTCACTCCCTTCGACTCCGCAATTCTCAACACGCCTCTAATCTTTCTCTCCACAACCTCTCGATCCTTCCTCCCCAGCCTCTTCTCCTCATCTTCTTCCCCCTCCAGTTCCGGAAACCGAAGCATACCCGCCGAAATAACATCGACGTACCAGCGCTCCGTGGGCGGCAATTCACCGTGGCTATCGCCCAGGGGACCGGGGTTCCGGAATACGAGGACATCGGGGGTGTAGATGCCGCCGTATTCTGGGAGGCGGTAGTATTGTTCTTTGAGGGAGGGGAGCAGCGTGGTGCGGGCGCAGAGGAATTCTTCTTGCGATGTTGCGCCGAGGTAGACGCCACCACCGGGACGGAGGGGGGAGGCCATGTTGAGGATGCATGTGTTTGGGGCTTTTTTAGAAGGCAGTTTGGAGGGGGAGTGGGAAAGGAGGTGCGCGGCTGTTAAGGTGTCGGTTGTTATTATGCGGATGGTGCGGGATTTTGGGAAGGAAGATGGGGGAATGGGGTGTATGCTGAGGTTTAAGAGGCCTTCGTCGAGGGAATCATTGCGTTTGCGGTTTTTGCCTTTTGACAAGGCCTTGGTTCCGTCTCTTTTTCCTTCGCCTGCGGCTGTGGCAATGTCTTCATCGAGAATCTCACTGCCTTTGGCTTTTCGGCGCCCTTGGCCCTTTCTCTTTACGTATACTGCGTTTTCATCGCCTTCTGTACGTGTGCTGGTCGGGCCTGGTCGTCCTGATGCTCCATTGGGGCCCGGATCAGCGATCAGTTCGCTGCCATCTACACCCCGTCTTGCTCTCGCATTCGATGCCAGAAGCGCAGGCACCACTTTATTGATGATGTGGCGCGCCTGTTTGGCTCGGATATCTTTGCGAATCGCGGGTGGCGCTAAACCCTGGGATTTCTCCGTGCGGCCCATTTTGACACACCGTTTGTGCTTTTGTTTACGACCTAGTCCCTGGGAATCAGGACCAGGATCTGTTAATGGAATGGTCTGGAAAATGGAGGGAAATTGGTTGAGAGATATTGATTGGGAATGTGGCAGGTGTGGTTTGGAGAGTACTATGTTGGTTGGGTGCGGAAATGCGGCTATGACGTTTACAGTAGGTAGGGTGGAGCTTGCTCGAACCTCACTTGGTGAACCCTCTTGCTTTTTGCCAATGGTGTGTCAATGGTGTAAAAGCTGTTGTGGTTTTTTTTAGGTGGTGACGTTGCATCTACTTTCAACGCTTGACTGAAATTACTTGAAGTAGAAACCGAATTGGTGCATTTTTGGCCTAGATTACAAGGTCGAATGGATACCTCGTTCCGTAGCTAGCGGCTCGCTTGCCTCAACAACCATTACCACCATTGGCCATCGTTCCATTGACATTGTTTCGTTTCAATCACTGTTTCTAGACTCTTCCAACGATCCTCTGCATTCAATGCTGAGTTGAAATTGCCTAATAGGGAACCCATTGGGCGAAAACCGGGTCTAGACCAGACCACCCTTACCTAAACCGCCACTTTGCAAGAAAATGGTCCACTTGCTGGCTATAGGTGAAAATTTCTAAATACTATATTTCTGAATAGTGGCTCGTATGTCTCCAGTATTCTTCGTCACTTTCAGCTCAGTCCAGACCCACTCAGGCTGTGTTACATAGGCCTTTGCATGTACACAGACGTACAATTTTATGTAGATCTGAGGTACTGTGGAATTCCTGGTGCAATCGGGATCCTTCAACCAAGAAATCTTTCGACCAAGTTTGTTCACTCGACTTGTTGAAGGTTGTAGCGTCCTGTCTGAATACTGGACAACCATATTGTGAGTGGTCAGCACTCATCTCAATGTTATGTGGCTGTAATATTGAGTTTGATTGCATACATACAGGTCCCTTGAAACCCACCACGATGCCGTGACTGGCTACATGTCTGTGGAAGTTCATTTCGATGATGGACAATCGACTCAAAGATACCTCATCGCCAACCCCCTAGTATGCTGCTTACACATATATCTACATCATATAAAATCTCGATTCCTCTTTCCCAAGTAGAGAAGCTTCGAAACTCACCTCAGGCATACAACAACGTAAGTTTTGTACTAACTGAGCAACATGTCTCCCCTCCAACAGCTTCTTGTCTTTGGTGCTGCAGTCTCGACTGTCCTCGCAGCGCCCGCCATTCCCAACACTGAGCGTGCATGCGAGCCCCTGCCCCATGGCCGCGGCCGCATCCCCCAACCTGATACCGCAGAGGCTTTCCAATCCTTTCCTGCCTTCTCGCTAGCAGCCACTTCCGCAACTACGCCCGTTGGCTATGTTCAGGCGTATTCCAACCTGGTCACCACCTTCAATGAGCCCTCTCAGTTCATTCGCTACACTGACTTGGACTCGTATGATGTCAGCAAGTGTAAGTTAGCACATCGTTCTTACTAAACTAACGACTCCTGCACTGCGACATCTTATGGCTAGCATAAGCCTCGATTCCTCTCCAGTTAAATTTGCAAGCAGGAATCTCTTTCATCATACTGAACTTCTTTAGGTGCTGCAGAATGTGGCAAAGATGACAAATGCAACATATTCGGCATCTTCTTCGAGCGTTCGCCCATGTTCCGGCCTGGCCCCAAATGCCCCAATCCCCCCTCCAGCACTATGATCAAGTGCACCCTGTGGTCCGGCACCATCTCGCCCAAGGCCGGCGTCAACAATGGACAGACCCGGGAGAAGTTCCGTATCGTCATGGCTGGTTCTAACGCGTATGTCAAAGACATTACTTTTAGCAACAAGAAAGATGGTTCCTCAAACATTCTCAAGAACTGGGTTGTAGAAAAGTACCAAAATGGCGCTGCTATTCAAGTCCCTCTTGACTGCAACGGCGTAGACACCTACATGGGTGTGGCGGCTTGGCGCGACGGTAAATTTGATGCTCAGAGGTGCCTTGACGCTTGCAAGGTCGCTGGTGATACTGATATCCAAAGCCGCAAGTGCCGCTTCGTCAACACCTACGTACAGCGCCGGAATGGAGTCCAAGTTTCTCAGCATTGCGCCATGTTCTCGGAGTATTGGCCCGCCCCGTAAGTATTTGCCGAATGACTCTTTAAACATCCGTTGAAGTCAAAGATCTGACACTCTTACAGCTTCGCTACAAACCTGGGTCAACGCCGCGGTGATGTTGAAATCTCCGAGACGGATTCTTATGGGTATGTCTAATCACTGATATTCTGTATTATCTATAGTTGAAGATAGAGACTAACTTTGTGACCGAGGCTCCGCCGAGTCGAAGTAAAGGGTACTGCTTGCTACAAACCCAAAGATCTCCCAGCTCCTGTCTCTCTACAGTCTAGCGTTGTACCAGTCGTATCCACCCCTGCTTCCATCTCCGCTGGTCTTTCTCCCTCGAAGCCTGCTGCTCCTCCTACCATCGCTTCCTCCTTGAAGCACGCCATTCCTACTTCTGTTGGCACATCTTCTATCTCACCTAAGGCCCCTACTCCCAAAATTTCCGCCCCAACTTCTGCAGTCTCGATTGCAACTGCCAAGGTCTCGGGTACTCCTTCAGTGACCCCAAGCACTCCTTTATCTACCCTGGCTGCACCTTCAAAGACTCAGGTCGCCTCTTCACGAACCCCAGAGATCCTTTCTAAGGTCTCAAATAATTCCTCTACAGCCTTGGATACTTCTTCCATACTCCCAGCTACTTCTCCAGTAGTCCCAAGTACTGCCTCAATAGGCCCAGCCACCACATCGGTGGTCTCAAGTGCTCCTTCAGTGGTACCGGTTACCTCTTCAATTCTGTCAGCAACCCCCTCGGTTCTTTCAGCTGCTCCTTCAGTGGCCCCAAGTTCTCCAATAGTCCCAGAACCCTCGTCCACAGCCTTGATCACTTCTTCCCAGCTTCCAGCCAGTCCTTCAGTGACCCCAGGTACTGCCTCAGTGCTCCCAGCTACTCCCGCCAGTGCTTTGAGCACTCCTACGGCTGCCCCAGCTATCTCTTCCGCAGCATCTCCAGTAGTTCCAGCTACCCCCTCATCCCCCCTGAACACATCCTCCACGGCCTTAGTCACTCCTTCGAAGCCATCAGCAAGTTCCTCCATATTCCAGATCATTCCTTCAGTGCGCTCAGCCACTCCTTCGTCAGACCATTCATCAGCTCCCTCATCTACCCCTCTACCTTCACTCGTCTCACCTCTGGGCTTCTTCGGGCCCCTCCCCGTCTTTCCAACAAACATGCCCGAACTCGAGCCCACCCGCCGCGACCTCGCAGACTCTGGCATCCTCCTCTCTAGTACCATCTCAACATACGTCGCCGCCCGGGCCACCACCCCCACCACAACCTTCAACCAGGTCATCTACGCAACCCCAGTTAGTCCGTCTCCCTCTTCCTTATCCCCCTCTCTACCGCACCATGCATCTCCTTCACCCCCACATCCCACATCCCCCGCAGTCGACCCCGTACCAGTCTTCAGCCGCTTGAATCTCGTGCGCCGCTACAAGAATCACAGGATATGCTGGCCCGGCGGCGACAATTGCTGGTGGAGACTCCATCCTGCAGCGATCATTACTGACCCTAAGTTGACGCAGGAAGAATGGGATCCCGAGATTGATAAGAAGCAATGGAGGAACCCTTCGTAGGTTCGTGGGGGAAGTTGATCGAGAAGGAGAGAGACATGGAGATTCGATAGGATGTAGTGTTTGGAAAAGGTATATGGGCCGTGGATAGTAGTATGACAGGTCGTCGGTCCGGGCTGTGGTGGGGTTCTGCCATAGTGGGCTGTTAGAGGCCGTGTATCCATGTTTCCTATGTTAGATTGATTAATGAGATGTATTTTATTTGAGCGGTGTTCATAACACGAGATGGGAGAGAGAAAAGGTGTGAGTTGATGACACTGTCCAGTCTGTCATACTACAATTACTTGGAATAGTCAATCTCCGCTCCAACAATCGGAATAGTAAAATGCGTTTTTCGTAAGAACTACGCTATTTCACAAAACCTACTGCAAACTTCACTCTATACATCATTACAACCGTATAGTATTCGTAATTATGCGTCTTTTTATTGTTTTATTATTGTTTAATACAATGCCAATTGATGATGAAAGATGCATATCCCGAGGTCAATCACAGCAACGCAACACACTTCATCTCCCCTCGAAACTTCTCTTTTCAGTAGAGTCGGCTTGATACATGATCTTCCCGATGTCCAACTCAAGTAACGATCTGACAATGTCTGGACTGAAATGCAGTCTTACGTTGGCGAGTACGTAACAATCCTCCATTGCTGCAAGCCTAGGCTACATGCAACAGAACGATAGCCTGATCAGCGGTCGCGCTCCTTAAGCTCCTCCGCCACAGCTTTAAGTCCGTTCTGATGTTCCTTTGAGACATATTCCCAGTACTGTGCCCAGACACGTGATTGTGGGTCGTCCTGTGGTGTGCCAGCTTCGGTGCCCATTCGCTTGTTGATTTGGAGTGAAATCTTGAGTACGCCCTTGGCACCTTCGTTGATCTTTTCGATCTCTTGCTTGACAGCGTTTTCCTTTGCTTTGACGGCAAGCACAGTCCGGAAGTTTTCGGCAAGCGATTCAAGGCGCGAATGCACTTGGTCGGGAGCAATCACCATAAGCTTTGTAAGCATGAGATTGCAAAGAATCCGGATGTCATGCTCGTCAGTGACACCGGCAACTATACGATCGAAGAAGTCAGAGATCTCAATAGGCGACAATCGTGCAAAAGCTTTCTCGAGAAGAGCGTATAAAGTCTCATATGCACTCTTGCGGATTTCGAGACCGTCGTCAACCTTGTGCTTGAACGGACCCATTTGGACTTCACGTATGAGCTCAGGTTTTACAACCGTCTCCTTCATGGCAAGAGGCAGCAACTGGTCGAGGGCAGGCAGGATAATGTCCGGCTTGTTGTGCATCGCAGAATTGAAGGTCATGAGGGCTAAGCGGCGGTTTTCCAGATCCGGCTCATTGAGCATCTGAACAAGCATAGGTACGACAATTGGCTTGAGGTACTCGTCATAGGCTTCATCGGTATCGGTGAAAGTGTAGCGCAATGCAGAGATGACCATAGCTCGCAAACTTTCCTTGCGGTCGTTCAAGAATGCCTAGAAGATCGGTAAGTTTTGGAATATTTGAGGGGTGGAACTGTCTTACCTGGAGCTGAGGGAGGTACGTCTTCGGGTCGATGATGGTTAGTCTGCCGATACACTCTGCACCAATCGCCTTGTTGTCTTCAAGCTGAGAAGCGGCAACGAGGTTTTGCCACAATGTGTCAGTATACGGAATAATCTCCGATTCTGTGTCATCATGTTGAAGAATCTCCTTGACAGCGTGCAAAAACAAGTACTGGGGAGCTGAGGGCTGACCCATGTTTGACAATATGACGGGAAGATACTTGCTGACGCTTCCAGCACCCGCTCTTCCAAGCGCAACGGCGGCTGCAAGAGGCACGTTCTCAGACTTTGCAGAGAAATATTTGATGAACAGTTTGGGATCAATGGTCGATTGCGATCCCAGTCGTAGAGCGGATTCTCCAAGTACGACAAGGGCAAGACACTGACGCTTGTCGTCCTGCGCAGTCTCAAGCTCAGTGACAAACTGCTCGAGCTTCACACCGACACTGTCGCCGCCATACACAAGTAGATTGCCAATAACTTTGCCGACGACCTCTGCATGTCCGGACACACCAACTTGTTGCAACAGAGCTTGCATCAACTCTTTTCCTACGCGCTGCTCACCTATGGCACGGACAAGCTTGAGTAATGCATCGAGTGGCATTCCACTAATGGAACCTTGAGCAACCTGACATAGCGCGGCGGTAAGACTTGGTGTCATGATAGCTTGTGCATCGTCCTTGACAAAGGTAGCGAGAATGACAAGAGCAGGACCTAGGAGGTGAAGGTCGTTTGCGTTGAGTAATGGCAACAGCATATCGACTACCTGCATCCGAGTCTGATTATCGAGTTGACTCCGCGAATGTGGGTTCAGTGCGAGGGTGCGGAGTGCACTCAAGCTTGCACCACGTAGAGCACGACTGGCTTTTCGCAATTGTGCACCAAGTTCCATTGCGACGCTCTGCACCCACTTGGCTGACAGCTCATCTTTTGCCTTTGTATGGGCAGCGATTGAGTCAATTGCGCGGACCGAAGCAAGGCGAGTAAGCTCATTCTTCAGGCGCTCAGCCAAAAGTTCAAGTCCAGCCGTTCGCTTATCCGAGGCAAGCAAGCCCTCGGTTCCTGAGCTTCGACCTAGAAGTAGTCCAAGGACATGGATGGCACTCCGGCGCACTTCAACATCTGCATCGTTTGCTGATATCCTACTAACCAGCGCTTCATAAAGGGACTCCAGATATTGACGGTTTTCCGTGCCTGACGCAGCGGATCGAGGTGGTGTAAGCGCCTTGATGACCTGTTCGGCTGCCGCAAGAGCCTCAATAGATAGCTTGCTATACTTCTCCTTGACGCCACAAAGAAGTGCATCAACAATGGATTCCAGATACGGCTGGATAGACTTGGACGGGTGGGTATCTGCTATCGCCCCTATCAGCTGCAAAGCTTGAGTTCGCAAACTGTTGGCTGTTGCCGAAGCACTGCTTGATGATCCTCCAGTAGTCTTTGCAGCTTCTACAACAGGACTGATAAGCTGACTCAGATAGCCGTCAAGACCGCCACGCTGAGTGATGACGATATCTTTGATCAATGAAATGGATGCTTGCTTAGTAGTCGGTGGACAAGATGTCTGCTTAAGTAGTTGCGCAACACCCTTGACGATGTCTGGGCTGAGTTTTGCTAAGCTAGCCCGAGGACCTGCTGGAGGAGTGCCGGTTGGTGCAGGTGAAGAATAACCCATAGATAAGGAAGAACTCTCCTGAAGATCGAACATGCTTGCATCACTGCCACCACGGCGGCGCTTCTTGCTTGGTGGTAACATCATACCGCCATGAGTTGGCTCATCAGCGAATTTGACTGGCGAGGGACCGTCACCCGATTTCCTCACCAAGTTGGATAGTGTAGCCAAAACCTCCAAGCGAACGTTTTCTTCGCGTTCCTTAAACCGTGCGATGAGTGCTGGTGCGACTCGACTGTAGAGAGTCCCATCTTCAAGAAGATCGCCGTTGCTCCGTGTCGAAATGAGTGTGTACAGAACCTTGGCTGCACACCTACGGACCTTCCAACTGGCATCATCATCGTCATCGTAGCCAATTTCTTCTTCAAAGTCCTCGCCCTCCAATGCGTCTTCTTCGTCACTTGGCATATCATCGTCATCTTCGTCATCTTGCGCCAGATTTGGGTCGTACTTTAGGTATCGTGTCGCGGCTTCAATCGTCTCTTCGGTGTATGCACGCATGTCGTTCGAGCAGGAAACAAGGAAGCCGTCCAGCGCAATGAGGGCAGCCTCAAGAACCTCGTCGATCTCTGGGTCGCGCTCTCCCTCATCATCGGATACGTCCATCTCTTCGGCTTGTTCCTCGGTGCTCAACGCGCTTAAGACGAAAGGCCCCAGAGTCTTGAGATACGGACCAAATTTCCGTGGAATAGAACGTGCCATAGATCCCAGTATAGTAATATACAGCTTTCGTTTGCTGCGAGTAAGATGCGGGTCACGTAGAAGCTCAATCATCTTGGATAGGAAACCACTCAGCAATGAATCGGAAAAGTAGCCAGCTAGTGTGGAGATGGCAGTAACCGACTTCTTCTTCATCATGGAGCTTGCCCTGTCATTCTCAAGAATAGCGAATGTAATCTGCTGCAGCGCCTGGATCTCAACATCCTGCAACATGGAGCCGAAGCACCGGGCAACCTCGGTCAGCACATCGATGGCATTGCTGTCTGTTCCCTTGTCCAAATCCTCTTGCAGCATACCCTTGGGTGGCTGCGTAAGACCCTGTTGTGCTGGGGGTATAACGTTGTATCCGATCAAACGAGGAATGAGTACCCTGCTGATGGCGCTGTATGCGTTTACGACGGCCTTGCTACGCGCAGCACCGTGGACGGGGCGTGGGAGGGAGACGACGACTTCGCGAAGAGCAAGAGCGGGTATTGATTGGTCGACCGTATTGCCTGTGGGAAGCGTCGAGAGCTTGTCAATCATGACTGGCAACGTCTTGTCGCTGATCTTGTTCACAAACGGGCCAAGACACTTGACGGCCTGGTTCTGAACCTCGCCGTTCGTATCGACAAGCGTTGTGAGCAGGCCTTCGACAGTCTTTGCTGCAACAACGTCATCGTGAAGGAGAAGGCCAGGGTGAGCGACAACGAGAATGTCGTGCAGGTCACTCAAGGCCATGAAGCGGAAGTCGGGGTCATCGTCGACAAATCGCGGCAACAATTGGGCAACATTGTGTGCGGTCGGGTTGGGCGGGACCGACGAGGGCGCCATGGTGTGTGGTGTTGTGAGGTCTACTGTTGTCACTGGCAGGCGGGGCAGCTATAGTGGGGTTGGGGTTGGGGTTGGGGTTGGGGTTATAAGCTGATGCGGGAAGACAGAAGGAGAGCAAGAACGAAGGAAAGAAATTGAGAGCGAGGAGCTGGGAGTTTGGTGGTAAAATTGTTAGGTGGTGAAGGCACCACTGGCCGCTACGGAGCAAAAGAAGCTTCTATCGAAGTGAATGGGCTGTCGTTGCCTGCGCGTTGCTTTCGAGAGCTCGAACCATGCGCACGGCCGTCGTGTCCATAGCAGTCAAGACACGGCGGAACGAGTATCAGACGAATGCATCTCTCGCAACTGTGAACACGACAGTACTACTAAAAAACAATTTACGCGACAACTAGTCGGCTCTAATCCCGTGTTGCTTTACAAAACGAAGTCACCTGTCGCGATGGCGCAATGTCCGGCCTGGTATGCTCTGCCGTGTCGCCGCAGGTGCACGTGACCAACTAGAGCCGGTAGGGCTAGACGCACTCAAGTGACGTACCGATTAATTCTCGCCTTCATGACCTGATCTCTACTCTACGCGCATCATAACTACGATTCTCCTATCAATTGCCCGTCGCAAGCTTTAATTAGCCCACCTAAGCTTCATCATGTCCTTCTTAAGATCTTCCGCATCCCGCGCTTCCTCTTTTGCACGAATTGCGCGCCCGACCAAGTATATCCGCGCCGCCGAGCTCCAGCCATGGCAACGAGCTGTGCAGCGCAGAACCTACGCCAGCGGCCACGGCTCGCATGGTGAGACGAAGAGCAGTGACGTCCCATGGTATGTCAAAGATGTCTTGCTGCTATTATCCAGACGAATGTATATCAATTGTAGACACAATCTCGATGGAGCAAGCTCAACTGTGATGGGTTTCTTTTGTTGTTTTGTCCGAAGAGCCGGTACAGTTCTTGGCAAGGATATACATATACCTCTTGAGCACAACTGTCCTCGCCGAACGCATGCTGACTTGATCCTCAAGGATAGGCGCAGCTGTCATCGGCACTGCTGTCGGTCTCTATGTTGTCATCAACCAAGATACAAACCACGGCGCCGAACACCACCCTCTCGGTGAACCCCACGGCGAAGGAGATGCCCCCAAGCATGGTACTGATTCGGTCGTAAAGAAGGCAGACGATAAGCCCAAGGAGGAGCCCAAGGAAGAGCCCAAGGAGGAATCCAAGAATAAGTCGGAGGAAAAGCCAAAGAGCGAGCACAAGGACCCTTCCAAGCCCACCAAGGAGAACAGCGAGGAAAAGGACAAGCAGTCTCCTGATGAGTCTGACAAGGTTGGTAGACCCAAGACCGAAGAGAGACTGTGCTAACGTGTGTAGCCCGACCCCCGCAAAGAGGAGACCAAGAGCACCAACGAGACCTCTGGCAAGCAAAAAGGCTTGTCCAACGACAACACCGAACACACTTCGCCGATTTCCGAACACTCTGAGAAGAGCAAGAAGGGTGAGGGCGTTGCTGAAACCGCTAAGCTGCAAGGAACCGTCTCGACCGATCGTCCTGGCGCGGAAAACAAGGAGGAGCGTGGTAACACCAAGGTCGACAAGGACGCATAAGCATGATGCATCTTCATATCCTCTCCATCTGGATTGCCTGAGAAGCTTCGAGGCAACGATGGACGGCGCCTCCCTTGTATAATGTGTGTTATTAAATCATCCAATTACATGAATACTCACTCTTGTCTTTCCAACATGTATCAACCGAGGCGCAGATGAAGAGGAAGCTTGCTCGGCATCTTTCCGCGAAATGACTCGTGTCAGTGCAGACATGCAGTGAAGGTGTACGTACCTAGGTGAAGCGGGTCGTTGAGAGCGGCAGTTCTAGGCCTCAAATAATCGTGTTGAAAGGATCAAGACTGACTCAAACATGTACTTATCTCCGCCACTGAGGCTGTGCGTGAGTTTGTTTGGCCTGGGATAATGCCAACAATGCTCGCCAGTTGCGTCAAGGTGCCTGGGTCAGAGCCACCCCACAGCGGTCCGCAAAGGCGCGAGGTGGACGAGGCGAATTGCTGATTGGCCGGGCGTAGTGGAGCCGAGACACCCGCAAGCGCCCACCATCTCGCTCCACAACCTTGTCACACGTCAACTTCCTCTCCAATTGGCCACGCCTGCGCCTCAGCTGCACGTCTAAAAAGAGGTCCATCTTACGGCGGGAGCTCTGCGAATCTGCTTTCGCAATACCACTCGCCTACGACATGAGGCACAGCCAAGAGCCAACCAGAGCGCGAAGCGGCTCCATTCCAGTGCGGCCTTTTTGCTCGGGTTGGTACTTGTGCAGCTATGGACTCGATGTACAGACCACTGGCCCCAATATCAGGCCTCCTTGCCCCCAGCTGGATCGTGTTCCACATCCCACGCTCTAGGAGTTTATAGCCAGCTATCCCATAAGTCTTGTTTACTCACTGCACCTGAAATCAATGGCATCTTGAGATACAGCGTCGATACACCTCGTTTCCCGTTCACCGACCAGTCCACCAAGTTTAGAAGAGGCTCGTTTTAGCTTGTTTGCACAACATGGACCCCAGGAATTACGGACGGAGTCAGGAAGCTCAGCCTCAGATGACTTCACGACAGCACACCCGCTTCTCATGGCAGCAGCCCTTGGACGACGAGGTTCCACCCTATCAAGAGAGACAGCAGCAAGCTCCACAGCACCAGCCTCAGCAGCTTGCGACGCAGCAGTACCAAACACAACAGCACCATCAGCAGTATCAGCAACAGCAACAGCAACAGCAGCAATATCAGCATCAGCACCATCAGCCGCAACCGCTACCGCAACAACACCAGCAAGAGCCCCAGCAACGTGTCGACACAGATGCGTCACGTCATTTCTCTTACGCCCAGACACCGGCAGAGATGCGCGCATTCGTATACACGTCCTCTCCAAGTGACCCTCCGATGCCACATTCTATGCCCATATCTCTTCCGACGTCACCGGTGGGGTACACACCAATCGACCCGCGCCCTCAGTCGATGCTTGATGCGCAAATTCCGGTTGTTCCGCCCCAATCTCATGCGGCTGACATACAGCACTCTCACGTGCAGCAACAAGTACAGTCTCCTGTGTCGCCAGTCTCGCCTCAGCATTCTTCGTATCCCCAAACTCAACAATACTCTCCTGTATCGCCGATACCACATCCGCAACCCGTCCATCAAAGCTCGCAGGCAAATACACAGCAGCAGAGTAGACACGCACGACAAATGAGCAACCTATCGCCCATCAACACAAACGTACGGGTGCACACTATGCCCACCATTCCCCCTACTCCACCATCAGGAACCCATCAGACGTCACCGCTACCACAAAAAGCACCAATGACCCCCATTTCAGCCAACTCCATGCACAAAGAGCAACCACGACAAGTTGCTGTCTCTCCTACGAATCAAGCATCATATGCACACGAACCATATTCGCCTCATGGCTTCGTAACAGGCCAAACCAATAATATGCACGCTGTCTTCTCTCCAGATGCTGCTCACGGTCCCAACGGCCTGGACTTTGCTGCACACCAACCGGGTCAAATTTCGCATCCAAATATGGAATCTGAAAGCTCCCATGAATGGTCAAACGGTCTTTGCGCATGTAGTCCAGAACCGGCTACATGCTTTACCGGTCTTTTCTGCCCCTGCATCGTCTATGGGAGAACTTCGTATCGCCTATCTCAAAAGTCTGCAAAGAATGACCCGACAGACATGTTGGGTCACAGCACCACTAACGGACACTGCATCGTTATGGGTCTGTCATGCGGTTTATGGTGGCTTTTTCCAATGCTACAGCGGACTCGCATCCGAAGAGCATATAAAATTAAAGGCAGTCTTGGTAGCGATCTACTAAGAGGATGTTGCTGTTGCTGCTGTGTTGTTGTACAAAATGAGAGGGAAGTAAAGGGTAGGGAAGAAGCGAGCAGGCGGTGGGCCGGACCAGCAAGCACTGATGTTTATACAAGGAGCGGCGGCATGGTATACAAACCACAACAATAAGTTTTTTTTCATTATCAGAGACCTTCAAGGAGCCTTTTTTATGTGGTTTTTTAAGCGCATTCGCTCTCTTTACGATACCCACGGTCATTTCTAGTTGTAACATAGTTTTTCATATCCTGGAATCATCTCACAACATTTATACACACCTATTGCTATCCTTATGAGAACTTTTCCTGATTTCTTACACCTTCCTTCAATGGTCATGACGAGCAATTCATTCAATCTGGGATGTTACTGTTGTTGCAGTAATTGCGATCACCAAATGTTCTTTCGGCCCAGCATCCACGCCTCTGCAATCATCAATGTCGCGAATGTAAGACTGGCAGCCAACTATGAAACTTGTCTGATCTAACACCTAATAGTATTTCTATGTTTTCCTGATACTTGGAGTCTCAACTATCTAATAGCAAATTTACTCTTCCCGCGAATGATTACGCCATAGCGGTACAAAACATATGGAACAGGAGTAACGACTATGGCAATACACCCAAGCACGGTTAGCGTCCAGTTCGTCCCAATGTCCCTGTACATTGTTGTACCGCCGATTGTCCTAATCTCAGTCAGTCCCACGACGAGCATGTCCAAAACTAAAAACTTACATGACACTGGCTATAACATAGCGTACCGTACTCTGGAAACTCAGTGCAGATGCAGCATACATCTGATAGCTGTCGATGATATATAGGTAGGTGCTCATGAATATGCATACCGTACCGAAACCAATGACGACCGAGGCGGCAAGTGGCGACCAAACTGATATACTTTCCTGTTTTACGTCAATAAACCGATAGAGAAGCATATATGGCTCTGTACTTACATGGCTTGTCCAGCCCATCCAGAAGAGCCCGATCGGTAAGAATGGCGCTCCGAACATCGCAAACATCAGTCGTGACTCCTGGGGAATCGATTTTCCCGACCCATCATCTCCTTTCTCGCGGCACAGCCGCTCTGTCTTTGTCCAAATCAAGGGAATGAGAGCTGCCGATAGCATGATACCGAACAACAAACCAAGGAAGCACAAATTCTTCAGCCCTTGGCTCATTCCGTAAGTCTTTTGGAATGTGTATGGGTAACCCACAAGGAACGTGAACAACACCACATACACAAGCGTGTTGTAGAACGTCAGCAGAACCACAATCGGCTCCAGCGCCAAACGAAACGGCCTTGTAAAGTTCTTCTTGAGCTTACTCCCCAGCCCCTCATCCTCATCCTCCTTCGCCGTCTTAAACCGCCTCTCCCCCGTAAACTTCCTCAACTGCTTCGCCTTCAACTTCAGCAGCTGTGGCGGATACGTCTCCTCCATCGCCATCGCAACAACCACTATACAAACGCCCGTCAGAACCACAATTATCCACTCAGCCCACCGCCAACTCACAACCTCGCTCTCTCCAATATAACTCGCAATCAAAGGCCCCAATACAGGTCCCCCAAAACACACTGCCCCAAACAAAGGAAACGTCCACGTCATCTCCCGCGTAGACCACAAATCGCTCATACTCCCCCCCGCCACCGTCATGGGCGCAGACGCAAAACACCCCGCCAAAAACCTGAATATCGCCAACGACGCCAAATTCGGCGCCAGCGCCGCACCAATAAGCCAGCACTCGCACGTCAACAGCGAATACAGATACACCTGGTATCGTCCGAGTATCTCAGACGCCGGCGCCGCAACCAACGAGCCCAATCCAAACCCCATGAGATAAATCCCCGTACTACAAAACGCATGTAGCGATTCCTCGGCCCCGAAGAACGCAGCGCTTTGCGGCGCGACGGGTGCTTCGATGGAACTCGCTGTCGTTACGATTGCAGCGACGAAGTCTAGCAGAAAAAGAATTTTCAGGCGTTTGGAAAGGGACCAGTTGCGTGGATTTGTCGGGTCTGTGGTTGAGTCCCAGCTTACGAGGTAGAAGTGTGATCCCGTTTTTGTGGGTTGGAGCGAGATGCCGGGGAGGGAGGTGTAGGGGGAGGGGTCGGAAGCGTGGGATTCTTCGTCTTGCGGGAAGGCTTTTGGGTCGCGTTCGAAGGGGGGTGCGTAGGGGCTTAGGCGGGGTTGGATGGGGGGTGGGGTCGAGGTTAGATTGAGGGTTCGGAGTTGTTCTTTTGTTTTTGCGCGGATGGCGTGGAGTTGGAGGAGGGCGGCCATTGCTGCGAGGTTTGATTCTGGCTTCGAAGGTTGTGGTTAGAAGGATGGGTTGGTAGAAGAATCTTGGAGTGCTTAATTGGAAGAGTTTATAGGTTTGGCTGTTTGTCTCTCTCTTTCTTTTCTTGAGGTCATGGAGGAGACACGACACCCTCTGCGTGTGAAGTGATGATGGATACATTGGATTATCATCGAGATCTGTAGATGATCGAGATATTGTTAGGATAGAAACCTGAAAGAGCGTCTTGTGCCCGGATATTTCCATCTCCCCGATGTCATACAACCTCTACTGACGATTGTACTGTGGATTATCTCGAGTAGTTCGGTGGATCATCATGCGCTGGCTGGTGACTGTTGCAACCCCATGATCTCTGAACGCAAGTCACTCAAAAGCACGGAAGAAAAACGAAGGGAGATGGGTACCATCGATCAGATGCGCCGGAATTTTGGCAAATGGTCAGTACACACGTCAGCATCATTTTGGGGGATCTCTGGAACATCATGATTGATACTGTCTTTTTCGACAAAGGATTTCCTTGTTGCGGATGGCCGAGTGAGCGCTCGTGATGAAAAGGTCAATAACATTTTGGGCCCCCGATGGGCTCAGTTTAAAGCATCTTGTAGAGCTGGGCACATCGGATATATTTGACGTCTGGTACTACAGAAAAGATTTTATTGCGGTTTGCGATGGTTGTATCGCCGCCGATGCAAGCGCAGTTGGATTAGAGGGACTAATAAAAGCAACATGGAGATGCTAAGCTGTTGGAGCAGTACAAGGATTGGGAAGAGGGTATTGTGAGGGTGCATTTGACGATGCACCAAATCTGGAAAAGCTGGTAGACTAATGGAGGAAGTAAATATGAGCGACACTGAGTGTCGACAGCGGTGGCATGCAAACAGCCCTTTGCGGTGGTTTCCGGTAGTTTCCGGAATAGTAGTGGTTGCGAGGTAAGCCTCGTTTGGGATAAATAGAGGATGATCAAATTCTGTTCACCGTGCATCATGCCCGACAATCTCTCATCAGGATTCATGATGGATTACTGCTGTCAGATTTTTTGTAGTCTGATCTTGCATATATTGAATTTTTGACCCGGGGGCTTCTGCTGTATGATCTTAGAATATGATACATGGCTTTTGCTGTCTGTCTAGATCCGCACTGGTATTCGGTGTACAGCGTCGTTATGTCACATACTTTGCACTGGCGTGTTATGTTCACCGATAATAACTGTCCACTTGAATTTTTTCTTTCAATCTAGGACATACTTTACGCAACTATTCGGTGCATGTAGGTAATACATCCCTGATAGAACTAGCATTACAGTGGTCAGATGTGGTCCTTAATATTCAGCATAGTACTTTTGATACTTACTGTTAATAGAAATATGACTGCAGTGGATCAAATCGTTTGCTTCAATTTTACTTTCTCTTGCTGGTCCAGAAACTTGTCAGCAAGGGGGCTGGGGCACTGATCACCCTTTCGGCACCTATACCCTATACAGGCAAGATTTATGAGATTTCATTTTTCCGAGCAATAGCCCCGATCAGGTTACACGACGTAATAAGAAATAGTCTGGCTATGGTCATAGCGTTTTCATGACTGTATTTTTGCTCAACTAGGGGGCAGAGAGACTGTTCTCCTGGATTCGAGTATTGATCAAGGAATATCTAGGCTCACGGGGTATACTTGAATTTGAGAACAATGGAGTAGTTTTATCAGCTTCGGTTGGTCGAAGAAGGTAACTAATTTTCCCAAGATTCTCTATTGCTCGGCACTGTGATATCCAGCCTGCAAAACTCCAGTCTGGTAATATTCCAAGATTGTTTACTGGCTCATGTCAGCTGTCATCCTATTTGAAGGAACATACGTAAATATTATTGGAAGCTTTGATAGCTGGTCATCGGTCATAGCAATCGCATTTCCTATTGACTGGCCATATTACGGCTTCGAAAATGGAATTCCTACCTGTTGCCGGTTATCCGCGGCAATTTGTTCTGTATGGTCTATTTATCGTGTCATTTGACCAATAATTTACAATACACACCCTAGTTGCAGTTTTGCCAGCGCAAGGACTGTTGATCAGAGGAGGTTGATCGTAGTACGAGGACGCCTACAAAAGCAAATGATACGCCACGGACCATGCCTGCTACTCCACATCGATAGGGAACATATATTCAGTTATGATTTCCATAAAAGCGATGATGCATCCACAAAACGACTGGTGGACAAGTCAGTCATTCCCAGTGTGCAGAAGATACAACTGGTCAACGTTATCCAGACTACGACTTTGCTCAACGTGACCACGCATGAGTGCATTCCAGCACGAGACCAGCAAAAGAAACCAAGTGATGACTTGAAAAAGAGAACAGACACGGATTCGGGACGTCCCGTCATCGGTCAAGCAACCAATGGAGAAGGTTTACCCAGGACTTCACGCCGCTGCCCAATGCACCCGCTATGTCTGCGGAAGGCGGCGTGCTGGCGCACGTCAATCTGAATGTAACAGCGTGGTACCAGGTTGTCGGGTCCTTTGTCCAACTTGACGTCAAGCACGAAGGTCTGATCCCGCTGCATCGGTCATGGTTGCACACCATCACTCAAGCCAGGCAGCACCCCTTCATCACACTGACCCAAAACGACAGCACACCACCACCGGTATCTACCGGAAATAAAGATAGCAGTACCCAATCACTATGATCTACTCTTCCCTTCTGCTCCTGCCAAATCGAGAAAAGTACCTTCCTTAGTTTTCCCGAGTGAGTTGGCGGCGCCAGTGCATCAATACTGCCTGCAACGCCAAGGCAGAACGATGCTCACTACCTATATCAGGCAAGAGGCTCACACAGCAACACGCCCATCTATCACTACTCTATTGTGAAATTCCCATCGCGACATGTTCCAGATATGTCGTAAAATCTGAAAGCAACGCCGTTCTGCAGGCACAGGTATCAAAGATTCTACCTTCCATGCCTCTTACTATACCCAACATCGACACAGTCCATACATATTCGACACAACATAAACCTTGATCAACTCATTCCATTCTTCCTAAACCCACCAACCCCTTCATCTTCATCTGCTACACCTAAAACTAACATGTACTTCTACCTACTCCTTTATCGCATACACTAGATATCTTACTCCCTCCAAGCAACCCCCTTCCTTACCCATACCTTCCAGCCTTATACCCCTCATCCACCTCGACCCCAGCATCCCGACAATCATCACACATGTCGGGATACTTGATCTTCCTTCTTACTTTCTTGAACACGGAACACAACTCGGGCCGCGCATCGGCGTCGACGCGGTGACAGCGGTAGGTGTGTCGCATGGGTCGGTGTTCGTGGTTGCAGTGGAGGTACTGGGTCCAGTGCCGTTCACACATCTTGGAAGGCCTTTGTCTTCGCCGGAGAAGGTGAGCTGGTGATGTTGATTTGTGTGGTTAGGTAATGGCGTTTTCGTATTGCGGTTGAGATTCAAGGTCAGATACTAAAAGCTGTTAGAGTCGCAATGTTGTGCAATCTCTACCTTATGTATTCTGAGGCTACCGGGGTCTCCTATATATAAGGTCTCTCAGTGTGCAGTCACGTTGTTTGTACAACCTAAAATTCAAGTATTGGGATGTTTGAGAATTCCGTGACCAGCATCATTCATTGGTTGTATGCGCTGTCAATACCATGTGAATATTCTCTTCAATTCTTGATTAAACACGTCATAATCTATGAGCTGCCAGACTTTGCCTTCAACTCTTCAAGCTGCTTCTTCGCTGCCCATTGCTTCTCTACACTAATCTTTTGCAAGATTTTATCCGCACCCTTTTCGATCAGCGCCTTGGCGACTTCCCTTCCCATTTCTTCCGCCTCTTCCGCATTGCGAACTTTTCGGGCAGCCTCGGCTGTGACGGATTCTTTGCCATCGACGCTGACCACCAAAGCCTTCAACACCAACTCTTGATCATCCATATCTGGCTCTTCCTCTTCCATGGCATTTCCGTGCTTGTCGTAGTCTTTTGCTGGCTGTGTGCCAACGGACAAGCCTTTCCCGCCCCTCCATGATGTCTCAACACCAATAGGTACGCTGCAGCCTCCCTCTAGGGTCCTCAACAGTGTCCGCTCGGCTGAACATGCTCTGGTTGTCCGTTCGCATCGGATAGTGCTCAAAAGCTCCTTCATGGCCTTGTCGTTCTTTCTGATTTCAATGCCTAAAGCGCCCTGGCCGACAGCATGCAGCATACCCCCATTGCTGCCACTCAGATATTGTGTGATGCGGTTATCAAGACCCATGCGTTTCAAACCAGCAGCAGCTAAGATGATAGCCGAGTACGGCGAATCTTCGGCGTCGAGCTTACCTAACCTGGTACCAACGTTGCCTCTCAAATCGGCAAACTTCAGATGTGGGTATAACATTCGTAGTGTCGCAGCTCGGCGTACAGATGACGTTCCAATGGTGGCGCCTTGAGGCAATGTAGCCAATGTGGTTTCTTTGGGTAGGCGGGGAGAGACAATCAGGGCATCGCGAGGATCTTCACGTTCGAGAATGGCACCGAGCTCGAGGTGTTCCGGTAGTTGAGTAGGCATGTCTGTTTAGGTCCGTCAGCTCAGCCCTAGATCGATCCCATGCATGATCTCATATACCCTTTAGACAGTGCACAATTATGTCCAGATCACCCGACTCCAGCATGCTCTCCAACTCTCCGGTCCATAAACTCTTTGCATTTTCACCTTGGCTCAACTGTTGCAAAGGCGTGGTTTTATCCCTGTCACCTTGAACCACTACAGGGCATATATTGTAGGTCCTCTGAGGGTTTGCTTCCTTTAAGCTTCTTTCAACCGCGCGCGCCTGGATTTGCGCAAGAACCGAGTTGCGTGTGCCGATATTGATTGGTGGGAATTGCGTGCTTGCGGATGTGTTTAGCCCTTCTGGATTCGGGTGAGAGGGTCCCTGGATGTCGGCGGCAGTAGCAGACGCCATATTGAAGTATCTTGGTTTGGGTGGTGTCACAGGTGTCGCAACGTGGCGATGATGATGGCGGTTAGAAAAACAGTTGAAGATGTGGCGGGGTGGCGGGGCAACAAACGTCACCTTGGCCGCGGCTCTGGGCTAGCGTCAGGTACGCCCATGCCCTTGGTCCGACGAAGTAAACGGATACAAACTACACCCACCAAATCAGCGTAATACTAACAAGATATACCTATATAATAGTGTTATCTAAACATATAATCTTCTCTTGTAGTATAATAATCTTTACGTAGAAATCTAAGACTTTTATACATACTGCTTATATTTTTTTCACAACGTAGTAAAGGCGGCTGATTGCAAATAAGAGTTGTATTTCTATAGGAGCTATTCTAATCTGAGTATTCCGTCAGACTAAGAGCCACGATCTCTTCATACTATACTCCCTACTACCTCTTAAACTAAATTAATCTCCGCTTATATAATTCTATACTTAGGCCTAAATATATAGCGCGAGTACTTAAAAGTTATAATATAGAGCGTATAAAACCTTACTAGATCTGTAATTTATAACTTAACTTTTTTTTTCTATTTACTATATAGCCTATTAGATTGATTGTCTTAAAAAAGAATAGTAGGCCATACCCTAACCTACTAAAATTAAGTATTAAAATAGTAACTATATAGTTAAAATAAAAAATTAAGTAAAGGTCTAACACTTGTTAAGCGGTAGTGGGGGAAATTTGTATGGGGGAGTTTGGATGTCAAAAGTTATTTCTTGTGAATGTAGAATGCTGAGCGTGAGAGAAATGCGATAGGCTATCCTAAAGAAATTCTTTTCGGAATCTGGAGTTCAATAATGTAAGCAAACCATATTTCATAGTATACATGGCGAACAGTAGTGAAACTTGCTTTGTCCAATATTCTTTAATTCATTCAGGCTATATACAGATGATATATGGTGGCATTATAAGCTCATCGCATTAACGCGGTCCTTCGCCCTTCTTGGAGTATACAGGTATTAAAGGTTTACTTGTTGCCAGTGTTGTGGATGGCGTTGGGGAGGGCTTTCATTAAGTTAGAAACCGATCATCTGGACATGATTGTAGGTACTCACCCTTCTCGACGGACTCAGGAACGATCTCCTGAATCTTCTTGGGGACGATTGAGTCGTCGCCGTCGTTGAGGGCGTGGGTCTTGCTTGTGGACTGGCTGTTTGGGTTGCTGCCGGTGGGGTGAACCTGCGATGGCATGTTAGAGAGAGTGCGATTCGACAACCACGTAGATGTCAAAACTTACGCTCTCGGGAAGGGACTCCTCAAGGCCCTTGGGGGCAGCCTCTTGGACCTTGCCGGGGACAGCGCTTTGTCCGGTGGCGTGGGAAGCGCCCTGGCCGTGCTGGTTGGTGGAAGACATTCTGATGGAAGTTTGTTTGAAGACGGGTATCTGTCGGATCAAAGGTCGTGAGATGGTGCGGATTTGAGGAGTGAAGAGCATCTTGAATGGGTATTTATGGTGGTGAATGGTCTCCAGGAAACCTTTGAGATGAAGATTTATGTACGTATAGAGGGCTGGATGACGTTCTAGTGAGCGGTTTCTTTTGCGCCATCTTGCCTACAACTGGAGCTCAACGCGTCATGAAGATGCTTTCCATCCACATTCCTTTCGATCGCTAGTAGAGAACATCTAGGCAGAAGCAATAGTGTTCAATGCAACTGATGATTGGCAGCCCTACCCCGATCGGAGAATGCGGTGCATGGCTGTCTCGCTTATCTCCAGTTTAGTATTAATTGTGACGAAATGTAGTCATTCACTACATTATACGGGATTCCGCGGACTCCAGCTAGAAGTACGCGAATCTGATGGCGGATATGACGTGCTGGCTTGAGGAACGCCTGTACGTAACTTTGGGCCCAAGACACCCAAGTTGAGATTGGAGAAGACTCGTGTTTACGACAGGACGACTGCATATGGTTTGTATTTTGCCACACGTCGGCCCCGAAAGTCCCGATCACGGGCTTCACAACTCCTGCTCGAATTCTTACAACCTCCATGAGACCGTATCAATGCAGAAGTGGGTGGGTGCAGTGGACGAGTGTTCAGATTTAGCAACCCCGCAGTTATCAGATCAAGTCAATTGCTGTATCAGATGACAGCTTTGCACAAGCGGTGGCCATTTTTCATCGTGAGCGGTCGGTTCTCTCATGGACTCTGGTTCCATTGGTAGTCTATGATGATACAATTGTGCTGTTTACCTGAATCGCCAATTGCCACGGTACATGCACCTGTCACTGTAATTGTGATGTTAGATGTGTCCATCATGCTGGGTGCTGACGCGGGTAGTAATGGCGTAGTTGATGTACGAGGTCCGCGGAGCTTTCATACACAGCTTCGCTCATATCGACGTGCACACTACAGTAAGCTGTTGGATGTGGCTATGTCTCTTCACTATAGCTTTTCTACGGTCTCAAGATAAGTCCATGAACATAATCTTTGGTTTTTGCGCCTCTTGTCCATGGTCTGATATTGTAGCTGTTGGTCCGAGTGTCATTCGCGAAAGAAGTCTGGTTCGAAGCAGAGACACATCGGCGAAGAGGCGAAAAGGAATACACGGCGCCGGATGTTTCTGTCGTTGTGCAGTTGGGGACGGCCCTTGGAGTGGTTGGTTTGTGTGAAGGTCTGCAGTCCCGCCAGCTTGACGCGTCGTATCGCGTACATTTGCCTCGCTTGGCGCGCCCAATTGGCCATGTCGCGTACATTCAATGAAGGTCAACGATCGTCTTCGAAGATTATCGACACGTATACGGGCATTGCACACGTGTGCCTCCATTGTTGAATCGATTTTCGCAGCATATAACATACGATTTCGCCATCGCAAACCCCCATAACGCGCAACAGCAGCAGCCACCACTTTACCCTCAGCATCTTAATAGCAGCCCTTCCTCAAAACATCGCCAAAGCGATAGGATCAATGAAAAGCTTGAAAGCCGACCAGCAAAAATTGCCCCGCCGAGATTCCCGAAGGAAGCTCGTGACAGTCCCATACCGCGCTGTGCAATGCAGACGAGACTATCAGATGGACCCAAAGCTTGAGCTGGGCCATCGCAAGAAGGTAAGTATGAGGAACAAAGGTTGGGGGACGCCCTCTATTTATACCCGAGGGAAAGCAATCTGTGCTCTGCTCACGTAATCCGGTGCCTACTAATCACGTGACCTGGCGCCTAGTCTCCAACTCCACCCTGGCCTGTGCGTCATCGCCTGCCAAGTCCTCCCTCTCCACTGCCTGCCATCTTTCATGTTTCCCGAGCTCCACTAGAATTTTCTGCAACCATCTCCTGCCAGTGGAAGAGTTTTACAAAACATGGACCGTATACAAAACTCTTTGTCAAACTCATCTTGGCTTCACGTCATCGGACCTGCACCTGCAGCTATTGCAGCACTCTTGTTTTCGCAGATCGGCAGATGTGATATGATGTTATGCATCTCATGAGGAATATACAATGCATTATAAGATACGGGGTTCGGTTGAATTCAGAGAGTCAAGTCGCAATTGAGATCCTTCAAAATGCTGTCTGGTTACGTTGTGCTCCGGCCTTGGCTTCTTTATGTCCTAACATACGCCACCCTCAGTAGTGCTGCCACACTATTCCAGGGCGGAACAGTAATCTCTTGGGATACATCCGCCAACTACCTTAATGTCATTCGTAACGGTTCTGTCCTTGTCGAAAACGACACCATCTCCGCTGTCTTTTCAGGATCATACAATGGTACCCTACCTTCCGATTTGGAAGTCATTGATGCGACCAACGACATCATATCAACAGGTTTTATCGACACCCATCGTCACAGCTGGCAGACGGCCTTCAAGACCTTAGGCTCCAATACCACTCTCATGACCTACTTCCAACGCTATGGCACCGACTCGCCTGCTGCTAGATCATTTACGCCCGAGGATGTGTACATTGGGCAGTTGGTCGGATTGTATGAAGCCCTGAATGGAGGTGTCACAACTATCGTGGACTATCCGCACTGCACATGGTCAGCAGATCATGCCATGGCAGCACTGAATGCTACATTTGAAAGCGGTGTCCGAGCTGAGTTTGCGTACTACTTCGAAAACTATCCAAACTTTACAATTGAAGGGCAAACGAAGCTTTTCCGAGACTTGGCCAGGGACGAACGATTCCATAACTCGCCCACCAACTTGGGTATCTCCTACGATAACTTCAGTAGCGACAACAAGAGTGAATCGCGGCACATCCTCGATCTCGCACTGTGAGTGGACTCAAGCAAGAATCTCCCAACAAGTACTGACCCAAGTATCAGCGAACACAACGTCTCCGTACTAACCACCCACGCCAACGGCGGCATCTATGGCGCTCCCAACTTCCCCTCGGTCCTCCAACCCTTCAACTTCCTCAACGCCTCCATCCCTATCATCTTCGCCCACGCCAGCTACCACACCCCCACGGACGCCCAGCTCCTCCGCCAACACAACCACTTCATCTCCACAACCCCCGAGTCAGAAATGCACTACGGCCACCTCCACCCAAACAGCCACCTCATCATGGACCAAGCCTCCCTAGGCATAGACACCCACTTCACCTTCTCCTCCGACATCCTGACCCAAGCTCGCCTCTGGCTCCAGAGCGTAAGAAAAACTCTCTACACAGAAGTCGTAAACCGCCGCCACCTCCCCGCCCGCAACCCAATGTCCGTCAACCAAGCCTTCCTCCTCGCAACCCGCAACGGCGGCCTCGCCCTCCGCCGCCCAGACATTGGCATCCTAGCCCCAGCCGCCAAAGCAGACATCCTCGTCTGGAACGGTCGCGCCCCAAGCGTCCTCGGCTGGACCGATCCCATTGCCGCAATCATGCTCCACGCGAATGTTGGCGATATCAAACACGTCATGGTGAATGGCGTGTTCCAAAAGCGAAATGGACAGCTTACGCCGAAGGATTATGTGGGGTTGCAGGATAGGTTTCTGAAGAGTGCGAGCAGGATTCAGCGGATGTGGAGGGAGATGCCTTTGCCGGTTAGTGAGGGCGAGGCAGCAAATGGAGTCGAGTTTGAAGAGCCGATGCAGGCGGATGTTGAGAGGGGCGAGGTGACGGGGTATGGGCCTTTGTTTGTTTAGAAGACTACTAGCTCTTTTTTTTGAGTGGGAGAGGTGAGATAATATCTAATTTAATTTTGCACGGCATGTCCTCAGGTATTGCCAAAAGAATCATAGGAACGGATAGATTAGAGACGAGCATGGTATCAAGAGTCACTTGCTGAAGATTTTACATCAACCGGCTATTCTATCAATTGATGAAATTTACAGTAAATAGCCGTGATCAGATGATGCCATCTACTTGTTTTCTAGACATGAATACTCATCGCTCTTGTCAACAGCATCTATTTCTCCGAGCTCCACTCCTTGAACGCCTTCTGCTTTTGCCTGCTGTTCCAGTTCAGAGTCCTCGATATACTATCGATCCAATCCGTCCGCCTCTTGTCCAACGGCAGCACACTCGGGAAAGGGAAACGACTGGCACTAATAGTTACGTAATCGCCCGGCTTTAATTCGACTCTTTCCCTTCCATCGAAACTAGCCCAAGAGCTTGTCCTTGCATCATAGGGCACACCACAGCGTAGTACAATGGTATCGGGTAGGATAATTGGCCGGAATGACAGCGTATGCGCACATATGGCAGTCACGAGAACGACCGGGTTGTCTGGATGGCAGAGCGAGCCGCCGGCTGCAAGGTTGTATGCAGTAGATCCCGTAGGCGTGGATACACAGATACCATCAGCCTGGACTGTTGTAAAGTGCTCATCGTCGCCAAACAACTCGATGGACGACATGGTTGGGTTTGGCCCTCGATCAACAACCACTTCGTTCAAAATATTGTGAGTTCCATCCGAGTAATGCGTGTGGTGGTCTTCAGACTCTTCTCCAATAAGTTCCTCGACCAAATCGCGTCCCTTGGGATCACGCTCTTGAGACCGCATAATGGTAGCTTCGAATCGGAGGCGTAGACTAACGGTTATACCGTCTGCGAAAGCTCGGGAAAGCGATTGTGGATATAGTTCGAAATCGAATTTGGTAAGAAAGCCAAGAGATCCAAGTGAAAAGGCAATGGTTGGAGGGACGATGCGCTGGAAGAGCCATGAGGCGTACAATACTGTACCATCACCACCAAGCTGCGAATCTGTTAGTCCTGTACGTTTCGAGTCGATTTCGCTGTCATACCGCCAAGACGATATCAAAGGTCTGCGGTCTCTGCGCGCACATCTCATTTGTCCAGAACTTGAGACGCCCCTTGAACCCGTCCTTGTCGAGAAGGTCTTTGGCACTGAAGATGTGATTATCCTTCAACGTTTGTTCCACATAGCTACATCCTGTCAGTGCTATCCATCGTGTCGCAAAACCAAAACATACACCGTGTATGCCGAGTCCTTGGTCAGCAACCACTCGGTAACCTCACGCGAATGCTTGATCAGGCCCTCATCGTGGGCTTTGCCGAGTATGAAAATGTTCTTGACGTGCAGCTTCAGGCGGATCTGCGATAACTTCTTGGAAAGTTCCCGGATGCCAAAAGCCATGTCCGACAGCTCCTTCTTGGTCAACAGCCGCGAGTGCTCTCGCTCATGAGTGTGCTCCTTGAGCGCATCCTTGTCGACGCGCCGCTCCTGGGCCAGGCCTTCATACGACTGCGAATGGTCCTTGACAGGCAGGCCCTCATGTTTCTCGAGAAGTGAGTGAACAATACACGCGGTGGTGCGGCGCTCATTTTCCGGACGCGACGTCATCTTGCCCGAAGGGTGGGGTGCGAGTGAAGCTTTGCGGCGGTGGCCGTTATATCCGCCTTCGAAAACCACCTGTCGGTGTTTGTGAGCGAAAGTCAAAGAGAAAAAAGCGAGAAACAACTCAATGCGCACCTCCAAGGCATCATCATGGCTATTTACGCTGGCGATACTCTTGGAATCTTGGTCCCCAAGCTCGCTCTCAATAAGGAAGTTAGTATAAGCGCATGGCTATGACGTCTGGTGGGCGTCAGGTACCTCGATTGCGCCCTGGACGCCCGGACTCAGCTGGTCGAAGTAGGTAGTTGCCATTGTAATTGTGGAAGCGCGCAAAAGGGCAGCAGAACAGTCCCAAAATTGCGAGGTACCGCCGGCGTTTTGTAGTCTGTTCGCTGGTACCCTGTGCGCAATTGACGTCGAGGCGGCTGCATGAATCAACGCTCCGCCACGGTCCCACTTTGCGAGGGGCAGGCCCTGCGACCCCGCCAGCTGCCAATCACACCCACCACGCCCCGATGAGATGAGCAACACACATACTTACTCAGCTCGTGCCTAGTGGCACTGCTACAGTGGTACCTCAACCGACTCGAGCACTTCCTCGATCACGTCCTCGGGTGTGACACCTTCCAGCACTGCTTTCACCGCCTCCAAAGAGCTACCCCATTGCATACTGCGTTCGTTCTCCGGTGCAGTGATGACGATGCGATGTGGGTATATCTTGCGAGCGGCCAGCGCAACCATGGACGGAGACATGTAGTCCAAGCCATGGAGCGGGGCAAGTGTACTAGCACAATCAGCTTCATTCGTCTCAAGCAGCACTCAACTTACTGGGCCAACATGCTAAAGTGTCTTGTAGCTAGTGCTGACACTCCTCCTGCAACTGCACGATGTAGCCTCATAAAGACGACGATATTGTATAGATATGCCCGCACTTCTGAGCTAATCTTGACTCCAGCTGTAAGCTTTGCCAGATTGGCGAGATCCTGAAACTGTTAGTTATCGTCAAGTACTCGTCCCAAGAGACGTACTTCTGATGTGAACAATGCACTCTGCGGTTTCGGTTTCACTGCCATGAATGGAACTGTACGCACCACCGAAGACATCGAAGCGCCATCATCAAAACCGCGTTCCTTCTCTTGCAACTCCTCAAGATTCGGCAGTCCATCTTCGGCTTGATGCCTATGCGAAATGAAAAACTGATCGTTCTGCAGCCACGTCAGCGCAAACCCTTGAAAGACTCCAACCACAACCTACCAAATGCATAGTCAACCTCGGACTATCCGCCGCATTCAACGCAATAAACAAAAACGGCTTCGGCGCCGCATGTACCGCCGTCCTCGTGAAATTCCTCTTTCCGCGTATAAGCTACTCCACCATTAGCAAAACCATGCCCAACACCACACACACCGAACTTAACCTCACCTCCAAAGCCTGAATCTGCACCTGCTCACTCGCCCGATTCAACTCCCTCGCAACAACCACATTCGCAATGCGTCCCTCATCCTCCTCTTCTTCACCCCCCACTAAAATGCCCCTCCCAAACTCATCCAGCGACATCCCCTCCTCGCACTCCAACACTGCACACGCAAGCCCAAAAACCTTGGCTGCCACCTATATCTCAGTCAGCTCCGAACACATTCCCCCTTCTAATCCATCTTTCCTCCTTCCTCCACCCACGCATTCGTCAAGGAAGGGGGAGAAACCAACAAGCTCAAGTTCCACCTGCACCCCCCGCAAACTCTCAACTTCACACTCGATAACGCAATGCTGCTCCGCGACAAGACATATCAGCACCGCGAGCTCCAGGTCACTCAGCGATTGCACTTTCTCCGCCACACCGTCCGCTTCTGCTTCCATCTCTTTTTTTTTCTCTTCAAACAAAAAAAAAACCTAACGGGGGGTTTTTTTCCTTCCGCCGGTGGCTCTCCGTTATCCTGGCTGTTTGGATTCTTTTATTCACGCGAAGATTTTAAGCAAGAGTGAGATGGTGTTGAGCGCGTACGATGCAGTAGTTAGCAGCGTTGTTTGCTGGCGCGCGACCGACTGACCGACCGACCGGGGAGATGGACAGGGGTCTGAGAGACGCTAGTGACGATCGGGCTAAGGGCGGGCTGAACGAGGTTTGTGACTCCACAGGGCCGATTTATATGGGATGATTGTTTTGGGGAAAAGTTTTCTCAGTATCGAAAGACGTTACATTTGGAAACTTACTGTGTGCATGTCTCAATTCTGTGTGTGTATCTGTTAATGGATATAAATCAATCAAATTCCGTTTCTTTCATCGATTGAAAACAATCGGCCTAATGGCCCAATGGCAAGGCGCTTGACTACGATTCATTCGATATCAAGAGATTCCAGGTTCGACCCCTGGTTAGGTCATCTTTTTTGCCCGTTGTCAGGCATATGATACTCTACTTTTTTGTTGCAAGTCCGAGTCGCCCGCAATTCTACAACATCGGTATCATGCGGCGCGTGGGATGCAGATTTTTTTTTTCTTCGGCTAGTTAGACGGATATTGTACGCACCTCATCTGATAACGAGATCTAGTAAGCGCCAGATGTGTTTTTTTTTCCTCATAGATAATAGTGTCTATTGACTGATACAAAAGCACACTTCAAATAATCAATCAAAAAAAGAATATTCATTCCACTTCATCCCACATATCTATACGAATCCCACCCTGAACACCTTTACCCAGAAACCCTCACCTTGCAAAAAAAAAAACCCCAAAAAATGGAAAAAAAAAACCAAATAACACCCTCCAAACTGCCCGCCATACTTAACCCCATCTCGTCTACCTCCCCCTCCGCTCCCCCTCCTCAAACTCACCCCCTTCACTCCCCTCATCCGTAAGCCTACTAACCTGACTCGTCGAACTCGTGCGCCCCAGCAAATCCGGACGGGAACTCGCCGGCGCACCCATAGGTTTCTTGGCATTGCTAGTCCAGAAGAGCCAAGACTGGCCGTTGAGCAGAGCCAGAGGGTTAGAAATTGGGTCTGAGAGTTGGAGGAGGGGGTTCGAAGTTGATGTGTCGATGTCGTTTCTGGCCGGAGGGTGAGGAGGGTGAGAAGGAGGAGGAGGAGGAGGAAGAGAAGAAGGATGGAGGAGGGAGTCCGGGGAGAGTTTTTCAGGGTGTTTGTGTAGGGAGGAGGTGGAGGAGTGGGTGGTGCTGTATATAGGGGGAGTGCTGGGATCGCGGGAGGACGAGGTACCAGGGGTGTCTGTTGGACGTGGTATATCGTGGGAGTCGTTTGTTTTTGTGGGGCGGAGGATGGGGGAGTGGGAGCGCGAGGAGGGGGAGGCGTTGAGGTTTAGGGCTGCGAGGGATTTGCGGGGGGAGGCGC